CAATTCAATAGTTTTATTTTGACATATAAATGGAATACTTAAACATGTATTTTAACGGCACTGTTCGAGTATGTAACAAACACGGCACAGTTTCAAAGTTTAATTTGACATATAAATCGAGTATGTATAGCAAACATATTTCAACAGACTCGGCCGAAGAAAATTCCAAACATGGCACAGTTTTATAGTTTTAATTTGACATATTAATCGAGTGCTTAATAAACACGTATTTGAGACCATTAGGCCGAATAAAGTACAAACACGACACATTTATTTAAATATATTTTTATTACGAATCGAGTAATAAGCAAACATATTTCAACAGACACGGCCGAAGTAAATTACAAACACGGCATANCGATTTTTGAAAATTAAACGAAAAAAAGAAAAAAATACACGGTAAGGGTCCACCAGTGCATTGTGTCATTGTTACCATGATATCTCAGATAGGACCACCATTGTGTCATTGTTACCATGGTATCTCAGGTAGCACCACCATTGTGTCATTGTTACCATGGTATCACAGGTAGGACCACAATTGTGTCATTGTTACCATGGTATCACAGGTAGGACCACAATTGTGTCATTATTACCATGGTATCACAGGTAGGACCACCATTGTGTCATTGTTACCATGGTATCACAGGTAGGACCACCATTGTGTCATTGTTACCATGGTATCTCAGGTAGGACCACAATTGTGTCATTGTTACCATGGTATCTCAGATAGGACCGCCATTGTGTCATTGTTACCATGGTATCTCAGGTAGGACCACAATTGTGTCATTATTACCATGGTATCTCAGGTAGGACCGCCATTGTGTCATTGTTACCATGGTATCACAGGTAGGACCACAATTGTGTCATTAGTACCATGGTATCACAGGTATGACCACCATTGTGTCATTGTTACCATGGTATCACAGGTAGTACCACCATTGTGTCATTGTTACCATGGTATCACTGGTAGGACCACCATTGTGTCATTAGTACCATGGTATCTCAGGTAGGACCATAATTGTGTCATTGTTACCATGGTATCTCAGATAGGACTACGATTGTCTCATTCTTACCATGGTATCTCAGGTAGGACCATGATTGTGTCATTGTTACCATGGTATCACAGGTAGGACCACCATTGTGTCATTGTTACCATGGTATCTCAGGTAGGACCGTCTTTATCGCATTGTTACCATGGTATCTCAGGTAGGACCGTCTTTATCTCATTATTACCATGGTATCTCAGATAGGACCACCATTGTGTCATTGTTACCATGGTATCTCAGGTAGGACCGTCTTTATCGCATTGTTACCATGGTATCTCAGGTAGGACCGTCTTTATCTCATTGTTACCATGGTATCTCAGATAGGACCACCATTGTGTCATTGTTACCATGGTATCTCAGGTAGGACCGTCTTTATCGCATTGTTACCATGGTATCTCAGGTAGGACCGTCTTTATCTCATTGTTACCATGGTATCTCAGATAGGACCACCATTGTGTCATTGTTACCATGGTATCTCAGGTAGGACCGTCTTTATCGCATTGTTACCATGGTATCTCAGGTAGGACCGTCTTTATCTCATTGTTACCATGATATCTCGGGTAGGACCGTCTTTATCACATTGTTACCATGATATCTCGGGTAGGACCGTCTTTATCTCATTGTTACCATGGTATCACAGGTAGGATTACGATTGTCTCATTGTTACCATGGTATCACAGGTAGGACTACGATTGTTTCATTGTTACCATGGTATCACAGGTAGGACTACGATTGTCTCATTGTTACCATGGTATCACAGGTAGGACCATCTTTATCTCATTGTTACCATGGTTTCTTGGATAAGGCCACAATTGTCTCATTTCATTTTTCAGGGTATTTATTTGTTAGAACATGTTTACTTTTGATTTTACAATTTTAGAGGATTAGTTTAAACTTACACTTTGATGTTGGTCAGCACACAAACAAATGCTTGTGTCAACCTGACTGTCTATTTTGACAATGAACATTACATTGTCAAAATAGACATAGAATATGTTGTGACAGGTTTGACGGACTGACAATCTCATTCTGGATTTACTAATGGACATCAAAATACTGTGATTCAGATGGAAATACTTTACGTTTATACTTAATGTAACAACAACATGCAATTAAATGTGAGACACAAATTTTCTTCCATTTCTTTTTTGATGATTTTAACATTTATGTGCATTTGTTTCAGATTCCGTTGCTAACTGTGATAGTAAAAATTGTACGTTTGCCTGTCGGAACACCCCGCAGGGCCCTGAATGTTATTGTCCGGACGGTAAACAACCTAACGGGACCGAGTGTATAAATATAGATCCGTGTAGCTACCCCCTATATTGTGATCAACAGTGCCGATCAAAAACATCCGGCTCCTTCTCCTGTGGATGCGCAAAAGGCTACGATTTTGTGGACGGAAAAGTCTGCATAGCTATTAATGGTGGGTATATGCCGTTTCTTTGTTATAGGGTATGCAATATAATTTTGTCATATTCCTTCACAAACCTTGAAAAAGTAATGTTTTCTTTTTTTTCTTTTTACATTTACGATAATACAGTGATCACGTGTGTGGTTTCTGATATTTTCATTGCGGTATGTGTCTTATATCAAAACATAGACAATATTTTGATGACGTTTTGAGTTAATTTCTGTTACAAGTTGTCAGTACCAATATAATGATGAATACCATGATGCACAAAAGACTGTATTCTTCCCAAGAAAAACAACAACATGTGTTTATTGGTGAGCTAGACAACATCACTGGGATAATCCAAAAGGATATTTAATTATTTTTTTTTAAAAATGCTATCATAGCATTTGATTGGTTGAGTAACTTTTTGCTCAACCAATGAAAGGCCACTGTTGGTCATTTTCATGATTCAGATGTTGTTCATCACATCAAAGGTCTTTACTATTTATTGTTTTTACTTTTTCCTATAGTACCCTCAAATTTGGAGCCTACACTTCTAGTCGCAGACTTCATGAGGTTCCAACAGGTGGCACTGAGTGGGAAGTCCCTCACACCTCCTGTGGTAGCCGCGGGTCAGGCTATCACAACACTTGACTTCAACCACAGAAAGCAGTTTGCATGCTGGGTAATTTTATAAGTATATAGTACTGTATACCGGTAATCTTTCGTCAAGTCAACTTTTCGCACTACGCCAATGAAATCCATTTCGCCCAGTGTTAATTTCGCCCTTCACATTTGATTTCTGTTTATTTAATCACATAATCGGCCTGTTATCCAGTGAATTCGCCCGTGTAATATTTGTACATATGTCACTAGTGTAATATACCCTGGAGCGTTTTTCATTGGCTGTGCCAGTCAGAAATTGATTGTGACCACATAATATGGACAATGACATGACGTCATAAATTGTGAATGGCGCAACAAAATGGCTGTCTCTGTTTGATTAAGCCCTTTACATTTTGGCTTTAAAACCTGTCAAAATGTAAGTTTTCTGAGTTATGTGATAAAAAGTATCTTAAACTTGTTTTCATTTCATATGAGCTTTTATGAAACTCGTCTTGAAGTTTTAATTTTTACTTGCCAAGGCTCGCAAAAATAAAAACTCTTAAGACTCGTTTCATAAAATCTGATATGAAATGAAAACTCATTTAAGATCCTATATATATCGCTTACTACTGTTGGCTGTAATGATAAATTTGCCCTCACTGCGGACGGTGAAAACGGGAAATTAAACTGCAGCGAAAATTTCTTGGTATACAGTTTTAAAAAGTGATATCAACATTCCGTTTGAGAAAAAAATTAACAAAGCTTTGAAACAAGAGTTTTTCGTAGCGTACGTCTGCTCTAGTTTTTATTCAAAGTTAATTTTTCACATTTGCCTTGTATCGTCTAAATAGAAGAGAAAAACAGTGTTCTACATTTACCCTTGTTTGTTTAACTTTATAGGTTTTACAATAATTATAACATTAGTTTTTCCAACTTATAAGGATCACTTTTGTTGGCCTTGATGGGAATGCAGATAGGGTGATAATGTGGGAGGATAACAGAATCACCTGCAGAAAACCTGCGTGATCAAGCAGGTGGCCTAGTGTACCTTTTAGCTACTGATAGGAAAATTGAACCCAAACTACCTCAGTGAAAAGCGCGTGTGCTTATACATTGCACTATCCGACCACACCCTTTTTTGTACTGGTCTTAAATATTTTAGTGCTGAAAGAATACTGTTAGTATAATGTATGGTTCGGTATATAATGCGACAGGGATTAATGCAGGAATAGAAAGTTAGTAACTTTTTTTGAAATAAAGTAAAAATATGGAGGGGGGGCATGGATCACATCTTCTTTAATATCTAGTTCTCCCTGTTTAATAGACGCTTCAGATCATTTACTTTAAACAAGGCCAGCCATAAACATTGTCGTAAAATATGGACAGTGATAACATAAACACAGGGAAAATAAAATAAATCACTTGGTTGTCGAACTTATGAAATATATAAACACAATAGAACCATGACAGATATTCATGTGGTAGTATTTTAGTTACATGTGGGGGAATTTTTTAACTGAAATAGGGGGAAAAAATGCCAGAATTGGAGAAGGGAATTGGCCCTTAATCGGTCAAAAGAAAGGCCTGTATATATCCATGTGTGATATTTTGTAGCTGTCCTACCGACTGGATCAGAAGATATCTGTGATGGAGTGCCTCAACCTCACCAACACCGCCCAGACCTGGATCATGAAGTCTGATGTATCATTTGATAGTAAGTTGTTGGGGAACAGCGGGATACATTTGTCTCTTTAAGAAATCAGTGGAAAATCTACAGATTATCACAGAATCCAAAAAGACTTATTTATTTCGGAAATTTGACATGGTGATAAACTGTGATATGTTGATGTGTAAAAGAGGTTTAAAAAGTTCTCTAATGTCAAGATTAAGGTCGCTGTTACTAAAAATGAGCATTTGAGGTAGGGGTGGTGGTGGGGGGTGGGGGTGTCATTCAGGCATATGGATGGACCCTTGCTTACCAGTCAAGTTTTTGGTTTAATTACCTCATGTGGAACCTAATTCCAACTTCAATCAAATCTCCTCAAAACTTTACACGAAACAAGTATAAATTGTATTAAATACATTCCAGTTACTCCGTCTTGTTACGGCACTTCCCCGTCCTTGTCATACCACTCACCTGCTCTTGGTAAAGAAACCTTACACCTACAGTGAAGGGCAAAGGTCAAGTCATTCCTCTTACTGATAATTGTTTGACTGCCGTTTCAGACGTGGTGCAGATCGCCTTTGACTGGATCACGGAGAACTGGTACGTGGCCGACAGACTGAAGGAGAGAATCGTCCTGTGTAACGCCACGATGAATCTCTGTCGTATGGTGCTGGAGTTGCCAGAACAGGAAATCTTCAGCATTCGTGTGGACCCTACGGCTGGGTAAGGCCAACAACCAGAGCTACTTGAATTTGATTTGATATACATTTTCACAGATGTTACAGAAAAATCAAATGTTTTTTTAGTTTCTCTTATCCAAGATTCATACTTAACAACTTTTTGAAATTTTCATGGGGAAGAATCTGCATGCTCAGAATTAAAAACGTAAACAATTGTGATAATACCCCTAGGGGTCAAAATAAACCTTTAGTATGATATATATAACATCACATCTCCAGCACACACGCAGGCATACACACATAGGGAGATATTAGCCAGGTGGCATAGGACTAATAGTTAGCGCCTGATAATTTAAGGCTGCTCCCGTGAATTCCTCAAAATTGTGTTGATAAATGTATATGCAAATTGTATTAATTGTATATCTATGTACTGTAAAGTGCTTTAGAGTGGCTTATTCTAGCTAAATAGGGCACCGTATCAAATGTTGTATGTCATTATTATATATTGGAGTTATTCTTTTAGATGAAATCATTAGATCTTAGGACATAGAAACAGTTAAGCAAATTCATTGGTTGGAAAAAATAAATTTAAGGATCCAAAAATCCTAAGTAGGGAGGGTTGGCATGCCTGCAGATTTCTCTCTGCATCTTATTGTGATTGTATATGGTGGCACCTTATTTTGAGCTTAACCCTTTCACCACTGTAGACCATAATGGACTAATCCAGATCAATGCATAGTAGAGTTTATTAAGGTTACATAGGGGTGAAAGGGTCAACAGTAAAAACTGCTTTTCCATTCATCTTCATTAGAGACAACCTGAATTGTCGTACAGCGTCCAGCAAATTTTGTTATTCAAATGAATTAGTCTATTTGCTATTGGTCAGTCAGATTGTTACGAGTTCCTGAAGGATCTGTTGCATGCAAGTTAAATTTCTGTTCCAAGGGGAATAACCCAAGTGTTTTTTCCTGGAATCATAGAGTATTACTAGGTATATGTAAAATGAGGATTTGTGACAAATGACAAATGTTTTATGTAGGTGTTAGCAAATCAACGTATACCAGTGATAAGTGTTCTAGATTTGTCAATATGCTGTTAACCAACAAAATGTTTGTTCAGTTACCTGTTTGTCCTGACCAAGTCAAGCATTATCCGCACCCAGATGGATGGATCGGATCCGCAGGTGATTCACCAAGGCAGCAAGGCAGACATGGAGCGACCCCAGGATATGACCCTCGACTTCCCTAACAGGCACCTCTACTGGACTGACATCAAACTCAAAGGCATCAAGCGCATGGATTATGACGGGCAGAACGTTTGGATAGTATTCAGCCGACTTCGGCCCACGGTACGTTGGTGTTAGGCTGCTGAATTGTGTGTGAAAGAGACTTACATTAGAAGGCCAAAATTGTTTTCCTTCTCTAATTGAAACATTTGAAATGTATACTCCAGCTGTGAAATAGGGGGCATTTAGCATTACCCATGTATTTCTATGATGTCACTTTGACACCTATCGTCATGTGTGTTGTTTCTTCTTTCTTTTGCACTCCATAGTGTTTCTGATAATACCCGGCGACTGCATCATATAGGTCTCAAACCTGTGACCCAGTATTTGTGGGCTAGCATTATCTTGATGATCAGACGCATTAGCCACTCGGCTACTGCGGCCCCACCTTCGGTGCATAATTCTGTTTAGTGAGAGATAAAAATGTGTATTGTTGTGTTTTCAGATATACGGGAATGTGATCAAGGGTTTGGGCATCTCGCTCCTACAGAACACGTTGTACATGACAAGTTCAGAATCGCTGTGGGCTGTTCACCGCTACAACTACAACCAGGGGCCACATCTCCTCACCCGAGACCTTGAGTATCCGTCCCAAGTGCACGTCTATCACCGCGTACGACAGCCCGATCTCCCAGGTAACCAGATACCCTGACATCCAATCAGTGCCAAAGTTACAGTTCATCCAATTGGCCAATCAGTGATTGTGTAATTACATGTCATGCAAATTTTCCATCCAGTATTAATAGTTAATATTTGTACCTCTGTCAGCCTTTGAATTTTCTTCCAGTGTTTATGTTCTGAAATAAAAATATTTCTGAATTTGACATGCTACAAATATGTGATAGAGTTAGAAATTCTGTTGATATTGATTTTTTAGAAGGTTGAATTACATACATGTATTGCCCTTACTATAGGGAAACACAATTCTTTGTTTCTCTGAGACTAATCATGTTTCACAAGGGTAAAAAAACAAAAAATGGTGTTTTCCTACAGTAAAGGCAATAGATATTCTATTATGCCGAAGAAAAGAAAAAAAATCAAAAACAACAATACAATAGAAGAGATGATTTGGTTGACACGCAATTGATGTCGTCTGCTTCAGTCTTTCGGAACTCGGTTGTGGTGGCTATATAAAAGCCAATTTTTCTAAAGAGGCTCCAAATAAAGGAAATACGATCGGGGCAACTCGGGGAAACCTGAGCATGTGAGGGTTGACATGATGCTTTATTGCCCCGTCATGTGATCACTAGCATCCAATCAGACACGCTGTTATACAAATTATATAAAAAAAAAAAGTTTTTTTTTTTGAGTAATATTACCTCCACATCTCTGTTTCATTGTTTTCTAGATTCTCAAACATCTCCGTGTACACCAAGTACATGTGATCATCTGTGTGTGGTCCTCATGAACGGAACAATACCTACGGCCAGGTGTCTATGTGCAGCAGGATATGACATGAACGAAAACAATACGTGTATAGGTGAGACTACAATTACAGTCAACAAAATCAGCAACCAATCACAGTCAAAGAAACAATCATGTGATCAACACAAACAATCACTACAGAAAAATTATCATAATATTCTAACCAATCACAGTCAAAGAAATTGTGTGATCAAAGCAACCAATCACAGTCAAAGAAATGGTCATGTGATCAAAGGAAGCAATCTCCATCAAGGAAATGGTCATTGATTGAGACATAGTTATGTGACAAAACCAAAAAATCATCAAAGAATAAGTCATGTTACTGAACCAAACACTCAAATCAGCAGTGATACGATTTCACCGGCCAATCAGATTTTATGTATTATTTTCAACATAAATGGTCAGTTTTCATTTGTTTACCTAATAACAGCAGCTATAGAAACACATTTAGAGATGTCGTTACATTTTTCGTATTCATGTTACAGTTAATGAAACCTGTCCTACTGATCCGAACTGTCAGGGTATTGTGTGTAGCTGGCCGGTCCAATGTAATATATGTAAGTATGTGTAGCTCTGACAAGGCATTGTGCTTACTAATCTGAACTGTCAGGGTATTGTGTGTAGCTGGCCTGTCCAATGTAGTATATGTAAGTATGTGTAGCTCTGACAAGGCATTGTGCTACATGATCTGAACTGTCAGGGTATTGTGTGTAGCTGGCCTGTCCAATGTTATATATGTAAGTATGTGTAGCTCTGACAAGGCATTGTGCTACACACTCCTGAAAGAAACCTAATCACTCACTCAACCCCTAAAATAGTTCTTCAGAAAGTTAGGAATGATTCATGAAATATCTTGAAGTCATATTGTGGCCATGGTCTGCTGTTATAATAATAATGATTCAAGGTTCTTATATGCTGCTGTTTTAGAGTTATTTTACCACCGGAAGTGATGTCTGATTATTGACTATTAAAATCACTTGTATATAAGGTGAAAAATGAGATCGTAAATCTCAATATATTAATTTATTCACTGTTTACCAATTTCAGACCCCAGTTTAAACACTCAATATGTCAGTGTCCTTGAAACTAATGAAATAGCAAAGAAATCATAGCTGTCACAACTTATATGAACTGAAAATTACCTGCCTTAGCATCTCATTTTCTGGCAAGTTGTGTTTGCCTTGCTTCTCCGCATTTGTTATCTAGGTGTTTTTAGATGTTGTATCTACATAGTTATGTATCTACATGTCATGTAAAACTCTCGAGATATTTTCAACCGAGTTTGGGCCTTTGGAATCCTGGTCATACAAGGTCTTGAAACTGAAACCTGATATAAATATATTTGAAAACATGGCAGGTCAAATATGTTAATCCCACTGAGCCCTCAAAACATCTGGTCTACATGGGGTAGAGTCAGCAAAACTGTTATTTATGGTATCTTTAGTACGGCACAGTATTCTATCTGGGCTATTCCAGGGAAACTAATGTCTCGTGTTCAGATTTTAATAACTTTGTAATCTTGTTCACAGCAGTAGTGATAGTGTGAAGTTTACATTATGTGTGATGTTTCTACAGCCACGCCATGCATGAGTGGTTACATGAGGTGCCCAAAGGGGAGCTGTGTTCCCGAGTCGTGGTGGTGTGACGGGGACGATGACTGTAACCACGCACAGGACCCGAAAATGGACATGGCCGACGAAAAGTTCTGTGGTAAGTTCATCACCCTTAGTCCGAAACTGACCCATAAACAGACTTAAATGTTTGTGATGTAAGTATATGGTGCTTTATGGGATGATAATAGACAGCTCTGCAGTAAGTATGAAGTTTTTAGGAACTATTTCGGTTTCTTGAAACGTTTCAACACCATGCCATATATGACATTAACAAAACTAAGTGCCTAGCCCCAAAATGCCATTATTGTGTCAATGAAACAGTGTTCTTACCATTCCTGAGTTTCATGCTTAACAAGAACACAAGATGTGGGAAGGATTTGGTTTCACAGATATTGAAATCACTGCTGGAGTCAAAGATTTTTTTTTTCATTGTCCTGTAATTAGTCCCTCCCCCTACTTTCAATCAGAGATGACGTGTTGTCCTGTAATTAGTCCCTCCCCCTTTCAGTCAGAGATGACGTGTTATCCTGTAATTAGTACGTCCCTCCCCTACTTTCAATCATAGATGATGTGTTGTCCTGTAATTAGTCCCTCCCCCTACTTTCAATCAGTGATTACGTGTTGGCCTCCTGCGGTTATTGCAGGATAAATAGTGTAAGCTAAGGAGAATTTCAGAAATTGGGCCTGAAATTGCAGGTCTGATACAGGTAAAATATATATGCTTATCAAATTTCAATTGTACCTGATGTAAGTTAACATGATTAGGTATTTTAATATCCTCTTGATTGATATGAACTTCTGTACAAAAAAAATCATATAATATTTGAACCTCAAATAGTCATGAAAGTACAATTTCTCTTCAGAACATATACTTTTGGCATCTTTCTCCTCAAAAAACGGATGTCCAAGGGTCTTAAAAATTGATGAACCATGAAATGTAAACCTTTATTTGCACGGTGCCTTACAGGTCAGAGGACCTGCTCCGTGGAGGAATTTCGCTGTAAAGACGGGACATGCATGCCACGCGAGTTTCAGTGTGATGGATATCCGCAATGTGAGGACAACTCGGACGAGGTATGTAACCTGGCAGTGGGTTGTACTGGAGACTTCTACTCAGCTAGTTTACATAGTCCTAAGGATTTCCATGCCTTCTTATAATAATAATAATAATTCAAGGCTCTTATATTCCGCTTTATCACAACCTAGTATGTAGGTCGTCTCAAAGTGGTTCACAAATTATTATGTTGTTATATGGCCTTTGCAACAAGCCAATATCCTTCTCAACTCCCTGGGAAGCATACAGCCGGTGCTGCCATTTCGGCGCTCACAGCTACATTCAACAATTCCAGCACTGCCCAATTGCCACCATGTACTCATTTACAGCTGAGTAGACTGGATTTTGTTCAAAGATACAACACAGTGCTGTGACGTGATACGAGCCCGCAATCCTTCGCTCACGAGCCTGGAATCCTACCACTAGACTACTGTGCCCATTTACTTTAAAACTACAGTTACTGTAGCTAACTGGACGCATTGGGACATATTTCTAGAGAAAAGTATTTTGTAATCATTGAAAAATTTACAGAATTGGTCCAAAAATTGTTAATATGCAATTGGAAGTGTTTTTTATGGCAGGACTATTACAAGCTTTTAAAAATAATTTTTTAAATCGAAACCATACATTGCTGGACTTGAAAACATGATTAAGATGAAACAAGCTCATCTACTTCAGGGCTCTAGCGTGTAAAACTCAGCAGGGCTAGACTAGGCTCAATAGATAGAGCTGTCACGAAACACTTTATCCACGATTCGATACGTATCTCGATATTTGTACCACTACTCGATTATTTCGATTCAACACACCTTTATTTTAAAATATAAACAAAATGAGATATATAAGCCGTCGATACACGGAAACCCGCAGTGTTTTTTACACTTTTGATTTGAAGCTTGCCGGAGCATCACAAATTTTCTTTTCCTTAGGGTTGTCTGCCATTTTGTTATGAATGCTTTGCGAAAATTGCATCCTCGCAGCCAATTGGTTGAGGGTTTAGAGATCAGCCAATGAAATTGAATGACGTTTCGGCTGAAGCGGCATACACTAATATTCAGATCGTGACGCATCGAAAAATCCAGAAAAAAAATATCGTGAATCGAATCAAACATAAATAATTGCGGTACAAGTGCATCACGATGAATCGTCAATGAGACTGAGCTACCTGGTCAACAGAAGTGTCCTGGCCCTGTTGTGCCAAGTTGTATCCAAAACATAATTTTGGGGATGTACACCATATATATGTTTTGCCTGCAGTGGGAAAGGAATCCTTTTAAGTTTGACAGTGAAATTTAATTTTAATCTGGAACCCTGGGTACTTTCTGGGTGCTGAATGATTAAATAATACCCTTGCGTGACATCCATGTTTCGTTAGTCGTGAAACTCTGTTATTTTGAAAGTAGGTTTGTCTTTCCTTTTTTTCTGAAACCAAAGTGTTGTATATGAAATGTTTTTCGTTGTAGCACGGGTGTCACAATCCCCTCCCTGCCGTTTGTGACAACGACAAGTTTCGCTGCTCCAACGGCTCCTGTCTGGCCATGGCACTGCTGTGTAACAACGTCAGTGACTGTCCGGATGGCTCCGACGAGATGCATTGTGGTATGTGTACAGATCCATAGATATTGACTTCAGGTTATCACCGATAAGCCCATGTCTGCTATTAAGCCCACCCCTCTTGCCGCTGATGTTGTAAACCATTTTTCTCCCACAACCACTTTAGGTTTCCTCACTCCCGACTCATTGGATGAACCTGCTGGGAGTCTGCTAACATTTTTTGGCTACCCACTAGTTCTAATTATGACGTCATGTAACGCCATGTAACAATGACTTCCAACTTAATCTTCCACCGAATTGTGACACAATAGTTCGTGGCAATTGTTTCCTCGGTTGGAAACAGGAATATTATATTCCAAAGAGAAACACATCATTTTTTAAAAATTTAATATTTGCATATTTTGGGAGAAAAAGGTCACGAAACTTGTAATGGTTAATTTTCATGTTTATTGAACTTGAGTAAGATAAGCATGATGACCAATTACCACTCGTTCGGGAACCTTTATTTTGTATTTGTATCTTTCTTGCATAATTATTTTCATTCATTCAGTTAACTTAATTGATCTTTCTCCCACATTCATGAAATGATGTATGAATCTGTGGAAGAACGTACTCTTCCATTTATTAAAACTAAGCCTGAATGGTTACCAGAGGTAACATTTACAGTTGATAGTCTATAATGTAGGTCTATGTACTCATATTGTATCAATTCTATCCTCTTTTTGTTTTGTTTTTTGGCAAGATTTTTTTTTTATATTTTCCAAAATTTTATGACATAAACATATATATATACATACAATGTACATGGGCGTCTAGAATCACCTTTAAATAGTGTACTTCCTGTTCAAAATATTCGATCAAGTATCAGTATTTGTCATACATATATATTTAAGAAATAATAAACATAAGTTGATTATTTTTATTCTACCACGTCAAATGTAACTAATTGTAAAGTTTTGCTATCTTATAAGGCGACATGACCTAGATAATTTGATATGCAAATTAGACGCTGTTCTTTTGCGCATGCAAGATTTATCATGTGATCGTGTTGCCTCGTTTTAACTTGATCAATGTCGTGCCAACATTTCTCAATGCGTAGGATTGGGATTCCCGGATTGCGTTTACTTCTAAAACCATCATCATCGTACCGATAAATATTTTGATCCCGCCTGACAGTTATGCTATTTTTGTTAATTCATGATAAAATACAGGGAGGTTGTTGGAACAGCATGTGTGCACACTATTTCAAGTGCATTGGTTATTGGCATGCGCATGGTATATGGCTCAATAATGCACTCTTTTTAACCAATGAAAACCGTCGTTAAATCACAGACGTGGTAGAATAACAAATAAGTATACATTCAAATTTTTGATATAAAAATAAACTTTTGGATATTATTGTCCGTTCTCTATTATTATTATTATTAACAATTCTATCTTAAGAATCTTGTACACTGCAAAAATTTGTAACTAATTGTTCAAGTTGGAAACTGTTTTCCCAGCATGAATATAGCTTTGATAAATCATTTCTGAAAAGAATACCATACTTTGTGGGACTTATATGAGAAACAATAAAGACAAAATAAGTAAAATATGATAAACAACACTGTTCAGTGTGTAAACAATTTATCGGGGCTAGACTAGGGTTCGAACCCCGAACCTTGGATTATTATACATTCTCGCTAACCGATTGAGCTACCTGGTCAATGGAAGTGTCCTGGCTGAGCTCTGCTACAGTTATTCTAAACGAAAGTTAAGGGGAGATAACTGTATATAGGAAAAACGGCAGTGCAGTACTTGGAACAGGAATCCTTAACTTGAAACAGACACATAAAATATGAAAAATACAGTCTTTTAACCCTTTCACCCCTATGTAACTTTAGTAGACTCAACCATGCATTGATATGGACGAGTTCATTATGTTCTACAGTGGTGAAAGGGTAAAAGGTGTGGTCTTTTAAAGGTAAAAAATTAGTTCCAATCAAAATGTATTGTTACCCTTTCACCACTGTAGACCATAATGTACTCCAGATCAATGTATGGTAGATTCTACTAAAGTTACCTAGGGGTGAAAGGGTTAATGTAAAAATGTGGTTTCAAATTAAGGATGTTTACTGTTAAAAACGTGGTCTCAAAGGTAGGTCTCATTCTGCATGATAATATTGGAATGGAAAGAAAACTAATTTTAGATAACTGTTTTTTTTACAGAGGAGTGTGAACCTGGTAGTTTTAGATGTATGAATGGTGAGTGTATTCCCGGGGCAGGCCGATGTGACGGCAAGAGTGACTGCCAGGACAAGTCGGACGAGACATTACAATGCTCTAATGGCGCAAGTATGTTCGAGTTACAATGTATAACCATATATTAATTAGGGCCCCCTTTTGGAGGTGCTGGTGCCCTATAGTTATCATGGTGTCTGTCTGTCTGTCTGTCTGTCTGTCTGTCTGTGTCCTTCCCTCCCTCCAGATTTTTGTGCGGAATTTATCACAGAATATGAAAGACTATATCTTTCTGATATTTGCAATTGTGATACACTGTGAAATTTAGATGTGCAATAAGGTTTAAAATATTTCTAGTTAGATATAACAGTACAAATTTTACCAGTTATCTAGATATAACAGTACCTGCTTGTTACAGATGACAAATTTCACCTGTTTATCTAGATGTACTGGTACTTATTCGATACAGAGGCTATGTTCCACCCGTTTTAAATGATATCTAACAGCACCTGCTTGTTAGAGATTCCACATTTCACCCGTTTTGCTAATTATACATGGTTTTGTTGCAGATGCCACGTACCACCAGTGTAAGAACGCTTCAAATCAGTTTAACTGCGGAGCGATCAGTGGGGAGAAGCGTTGTATCCCGTCCAGCTGGAAATGTGACAATGAGTATGACTGTCAGGATAAATCGGACGAAATGAACTGCAGTAAGCATTATTTTGAGGGTGGTCAGGTTGTGTATTGGATAACACGTTCTCCTTTTACCGAGGCGGCCGGGGTTCGATTCCCCCACAGAGGTGAAAAGGTCACCTACACTACCATGTGGCTTTTCTCTGGGTGCAGCTGGTGTCCTCCCACACTAGGTCTTTGTGTGGACTTACACCGGGCCAAGAAGAGTGATTTATAAAAGTTATTTCATCCTTTTTAGAGAATATTGGAACATAATAACACCTAAACATGCAAATTACAGTGCACAAATAATTCAAACATATTTTTCAAACTACATTTAATCAAATATTCATAGATTTAAAATTAGTTGTTTGTCTTGGTTGATGTCATTTTACAATCACATTCCACCTTATGCAGATTTCAAAGATGTTCCAAGTTCAACATCCATGTGTCGAAGTCTCAATGTTTCGAATGTTTCCCAATGGTCCCGACGCAAAGTTTGAAATATCAAAGTTTGACTGTATTTGCAAAGTGATTTTGAAGACTGGACAAAGTCATCATGTTAACAATTCAAAATTATCATTTATTTTTTAAAAGTTTTAATGCCAAAATAGATGTTTTCACATTGACACAAGTTTAAACAACCGTTCAAGATTGAAAGGACATAACCAACATTGACACAGGTCAAAGTTAGTTTCAAAGTTGAAAGGTCAACAAAGGTTGACAATGATAATTCCAATCAATTTTAATTTGCATAGAGGGCTCAATTATCTGGTTTTCTATATTTTTCCATTTTTGGTCTGTTGGTAAACACAATTGAAAGCTTTAAAAATAAAAAATAAATATAGACAAACAAACAGAATTGTACAGTTTGTATAGCTTTGATATATTTTTCAGTAGCTTTGAATTTGCTGTTGCAGCGGGGAAATGTGAGGCTCCACACTTCATGTGCAAGAACAACCAGACTTGTCTGCCATTTGAGAAGATCTGTAACGGCATACCCGACTGTACTGACCAATCTGACGAGGAAAATTGTAGTATGTAATGTATGGCTACAGGGTTAAATCTGTCGTTGTAAAACCAAGCAGACTTTTTCATGATTTAATGGAGAACTTTGTCAATCTGACAAGATCCTGAAAGAGAAAAACAAAATTGAGGAATGTGATTAAGATTTAACATCACAGTTTTATGACATAAACTTAATTGGCTACTGTGTTAGTAGCTCTTAATCTTCTTTATAATCAGTTAGCTGGATTAGTTTCTGTCATTATATGTGGTAACTTTCCTGTTTGACAGAAGCTGTGATGTCTGGGGTATTTGTAGCCAGGTTTCTGTCATTATATGTGGTAACTTTTCTGTTTGACAGGAAGCTGTGATGTCTATGGTATTTGTAGCAAGGTTTCTGTCATTATATGTGGTAACTTTTCTGTTTGATAGAACCTGTGATTTGTTGGGTATTTGTAGCCAGGTTTCTGTCATTATATGTGGTAACTTTTCTGTTTGACAGGAAGCTGTGATGTCTAGGGTATTTGTAGCCAGGTTTCTGTCATTATATGTGGTAACTTTCCTGTTTGACAGGAAGCTGTGATGTCTAGGGGATTTGTAGCCAGGTTTCTGTCATTATATGTGGTAACTTTCCTGTTTGACAGAAAGCTGTGATGTCTGGGGTGTGTGTAGCCAGGTTTGTACACCCCTTCCTCTAAACAAACACAACTGTTCCTGTCTCCACGGTTATCAGATCAAGTCAGACGGCTATTCATGTAAACCAATAGGTAAGTAATGCTACAGGTAAGCTATGCCAGGTATAGTTCTACGTGACTGTGTGCTAGGTAATTCTGCAGAGAAGTAAAGTATTTCTACAGGGAAATAAAGTCTATAGATTAGCAAAATCTTTATGTCTACAAATATGCAAGGTATTTCTGTAGGAAAGCAAATTAAGTAATTCTACAGGATTTAGAATGACAGGAAATAAGGTAATTCTGCAGGTAAGCAATGTAATCCTATAGGAAAATACAATGACAGGAAATAAGGTAATTCTGCAGGTAAGCAATGTAATCCTATAGGAAAATAAAATAATTAGACTGTAAAGCAAGGTAATTATGCAGGAAAGTAATGTAATTCTACAGGTATGCTAGATAATTTTAAAGGAAAGTAATACAATTATACAGGGAAGTAATCTCATTCTCATTAAAGATCGTTTCTATGACCTAACTTGTCTGACCTTGTATATGACCTTTTGTATGACCTTATATATGAACTTGTCTATGATCTTGTGTATGACATTGTTTATGGCCTTGTGTATGACCTTATTTATGACCTTTTGTATGACCTTGCATATGACCTTGTGTCTGACCTTGTGTATGACATTGTTTTTGACCTTGTGTATGACCTTTTGTATGACCTTGTTTATGACCTTGCATATGACCTTGTGTCTGACCGTTTGTCTGACCTTGTGTATATGACCTTGTGTCCGACCTTGTGTCTGACCGTTTGTATGACCTTGTCTATGACCTTGTAGGTGGGGAGCCTGTGTACATCATCTTCTCTAACCAGCATCAGATGCGGCGGGTAGAGCTGACGAACTACACGTATGCCTCCCTCGTCTCCGGCCTCAAGAACACCATTGCCCTGGACTTCTACTATGCAGGGAACGCCATCTTCTGGACCGACGTCGTCGACGACAAAATCTTCCGCGGCACCATGCTGGGAAACAGTACGTTTGGTACGATCATAATACTAAAATTGTCCACTCAGTCACCTTGAACTTTGACCTTGAGAACTTTTTCGCGTATCAGCATAGTTAGAAATATTAATAAAAGTATCTAGTAGAATTCATCTTCAGACTTGCATGAAGCGCTTTTACAAAAGTTCAAATTTTTTATTTTTTATTTTTGAATGATTTTTTTTCCTGTAAATTGTGATGTTTAGGAAGATTTGATTGTGTTGACACTCAACACGCGATGTGTTGGACATGACCTATTTCAGGAAACTAGATTGAAAAATGTAAATTGTTCTTATTCATTTGAGAGTTAGGAGACGCAATATCGGTAATTTTGTAATAGGTCATGTGCAGTTTTCAGCCAATCAGAGTCTTTATTTCTATAGAAACCTATATCTAGTCAGTGCTCCCAGAACCTCTATTTAGAATCAAATTAATAAAAAAAGCATGTGTTTTATAGATAGCCAATCAAAACCATTGAAACATATAGGAGTAGATTTAAAGTACATTTCATAGCCAATCGAAATCATTGAAACATAGCAGTAGATTTAAAGTACATTTCATAGCCAATCAGAATCATTGAAACAACAAATCATTAGAATTGAAATGCAGTGTGTAATTGTTAGCCAATCAGAATCACTGTTACATATCACAAGATTGAAGTGTAATGTGCCATCTGTCAGTTAGAGTAAAGTAAACATGCATGAAACTGAAGAAATAACAAATATCCGATTTTAGCAAAAAAAATCTATGCTAATGTTATTAGCTGTTTTGAAAAAATAAATAAAACATTATTAGTTTTCAAATAGAATATTTCTACCAGCATACATGTAATTTTGAAAACATTTTAGGAATTGCACACTAAAAGATTTCGCATTTGATACCTTGAATAAATATAAGACTAAGGATAATTTTGACAGAAACCCCCGTGTTCCAAAAAGGTTGATTATTAAGTGGTTGAAATTTTAGTATTATGACTTGTAACCGGAAATCAATATACACCAAATTATATAATCAGAAATTTTTGATATCATCCATGACTTTTTAAAAAAATTATTCATATTATGATAACCAATCATATCACAAATCCAAATGACATCATCCATCACACATTGAGACGTTGTATACATAATTAATACTCATCATATTTCGAGAGAAAAAATTGATACCATATGTCTCAAGCTGTGGAGAAAATTGTACATATTTATTTTTATCACAGATTCAAAATGTACAAAACTCATCCTTGTCTAACATATTGATTAATCATTGAACAAACATTAAAGCTTGCTGAACTGATGATCTTTTATCGTAGAGACTTGTGTCTGAGACAGGTCTTTATAAGAAGACTTTCATATGTTAAAACGATTTTAATACCGCTCAGCCTCCACACACCAGGTGTTACGCTCACTTTCGCTCTCTGCACCCCTGGAACATGTTATAGCAAAGTCGAAGGCACACGGCTGGCTATTTGATTGGTCTCGGGTGGAAAAAAACCCTGACCAATAGCTAGGCCGATACCTGTCCCCTTCAGACTACAAAGGAGCAACACGGGAGCTCAAAGCAAGTAAATTAGACCACTACACGACCAAGAGATTTTCTTTATGTACGTACATCAAAGGATCAAACTAGTCCTGTCGCCTCATCCACAAGGTGGTGCACGCTGAGACTTCCATTTGTCGTGACATATTTCAGGATTGCAGAGAGTGACAGTGAACTAATCCCTGGAATATTGAGGATGTTCACCGCCAAACCTATACTACCACTACAGTTTGTGGCTAGATACATTTCCATGACTCGGCTTATATTATGCGTAACTCTTCACACGAAAATTGTCAGAGTTTTTTATCACCCTATATATTACTCCTTATCTCCATGCATCAACTTTGTACAACATGTACGGAGGTAGGGTTGGATACTTACCGTAGGTAGACATACAAAAGACACACAGCTTATGCTTCACGCTAAAATTATCAGACTTTATCGACCCAATATTGGGTCCTAATCTCCACGCATCAACTATTTTACGACACAAGTAGGGTGAGTAGAAACTTTCATATCTGTGTAGAAATACGGTACAACTACTTGATATATAGAATTAAACTTAATATCACAATTGTTTTCCTGCTAAATAATTTTCAGAATATTATACTTTTTCAAGATTTACTATTTGGAAAGCATGTTTTCTCATTTATTTAACATTATTGATCAACATTATTAGTCCCATTGAACAAAGTGTTGTGTATATAAGGAACCAATACAGGAATATACAAAACATCACAATGACACCTATTTTTAGGATCTCTTTTAACTCATTCACCCCTGAAGTTTCATAATGAACTAGTCCAACTTTTGAATTGGACGAGTTCAAATGTGTCTTCAGGGGTGAATGAGTTAACCTGCAACTGTAGATGTTATAAGTAGCAAAACAAAAAGAATTTCTTGGTAGCAGATTATTTCCCTGGCGTAGAGATCACGTACATGACAAAGAAGTTATCATGTTCAGTATAATGTTGTGAAATATTTGATGGAATGTCATTTTAAATTTCATGTAGAAAGTTATTAGTTTCAAAGAAATATGCTTTTCCCACACTTAAAGGAAGGAACTGATAAAAAACGTATGATGATGATGATGTTTATGAAACCGTTGTCATGCAATGCACACGCTTCATGCACTATGTCCAGTTACAATTCCACTGCACCAGCGCTTGACCGGGACAATCTCAGAGCAAATTCCATCTTAAAGAAGTTTAAGTTAGAAAAAAAAGACTTGGTGAGAGCTTAGTATCTCAAAGCAAACAAAATTGTTTAACCCTTTCACCACTGTAGACCACAAAATGGACTCATCCAGATCAATACATGGTAGAGTCTACTAAAGTTACATGGGGGTGAAAGGGTTAAGAGTGCAAGAAATGATCAGAACTATTTTAAATCCAAAATGATACTATTAGCAGATGAAATGGTGATTGTTAAATTCACTTTTGAATAATTATTGAAGAAAAGGAAAAAAATTGTTACATAAGAGTTATGTTAGGAGGAAGGTTATTGTAAGAAGTTGATGTCACCGGATAAAAAATTGTGATAATTATGTATATCCAATTAATTTTGGAGAAATAAATTGTTCGAAATATTGAAACATGTAAGGAAAGGTAAGTCTTACACTGATTTGATAAAGTATGAGAACTGATATAAATTCTTTATGAAGCCACGTTGGTTCCGGAAGATGAGGACATGGTTCCCATGACGGCGGGAGAGAGTAAGGCTATCACAGTTTAAGCTTGCCTTTTTTTTAAGCATGACGCCCATCACTCTCAACCAGATCTCCTGCTTTGTAGCCTGACAAAGGATTTCCCCTGCCATTTTCATTTACAGAATGCACCATTTTGGTTGTTACAATTTGACACCAAAATATATTGTATCACCTTGCAAAATGTTGTTGTTTAGTTCGATGTTGACTAACAACTAGATCTGTTGTTCAGTTGCCATGGTGACAGATAAGAAATAATAAAAGCCCCTCCCATCATACAGATATATTGTGTTTACTAACAGCAAGATATGTTGCCATAGTAACTGCTGACCTATTTGAAGTTTGTAAATAATTTTGTTATTGTCTCCGACTTAACACGGACTGTTGTTGTTGTTTACTTCCCCTTGTTAAACTAACCTGCTAGTCTGTCGATATGATAAAATTCTCCTTCAATCTTTTTGGGGCGAAATAAGTTATGTGAATATGACTATGTGTTCATGCAGTTCCAGAAAAACAGAAATACTTTCTTGCTTGAAAGTTAATAAAAAGATTAGAAGCAGATTGAATACCAAATGATCATTTTCCACAACAATCATTCAACTGTCTGAAAAAATATCTGACTGTTGAAATGTCTATCTGTGGGCCCCCGGGGTCACTCTTGTTAAAATTACTGTGAAAATGAAAAATATATTACAGAAATGAAATGAAAGTGGTGTACTTTTTGGAGTTAACACCTAATGGCACTTCTCCTTCAGGATACTTAAGTAATATTGTTGGTGTCAAAAAATCTTTTACAAGGGAATGGCATGCTATATGAATGACAACATTTAGACCAACTAGAATGATCAGACATATAATTGCTGATGTTTCTTTGACTTCAAATATTACTCTACATTTATCTATTTCTTTTGGATACTTCATTCTCAAATGTAACTGAATGTTTCTCAAAGTATCACTATATATTGCTAAAGATTATTTGACTTGGTTACATTTTAATCTGAACAAGTAAAGGAACTTTCTGTTTGACACTTATATTCCTCTGCCTGAGATTGTTGAATGACTGTTAAAGGATGGTATTACTTAGTCCAAGAATGTCTTGGTTTCTGTATCAAACAGAAAATTACTCAGCCCAAGTATGTATAGTTTTCTGAATAGAACCAAAAGGTATCAAGTAAGTTTGGGTTTCTGATTGGAATTGACTGGTATGTATGTCCCCTGTGTATTCGCTCTGGCTAGCCCCTCCTCTCGCTTTACCGTCTGCTTGGTATGTCCGTCGAATGTACAAGTAACTAAGGCATCATGGAAAAGGTGACCTTAACCAAAGCTTTACCCGTTTGTCTTTTGCAGATTTCTTTCCATTTCAGCGAATAGTAATTTTTCATTACACCCTCATCACTTAATATTGTTTAGTTAAAAAGTATCATTGTCTCCTTTTGTAGAATTATCAATATTTGTTTAATGCAAAATATTTTGAATTCAGGTAGTTGAGGTTTTTCTTCATTTGCATTGATCTCACATGACAGTAAAAAGTATGTTCTGATTGGATAATCACTGCCGACAGTGAATTTCATTGGTCAAAAAGAGTGTTGGATTTATTCCAATACATTCGTTCCATTTTTTTCCCCCATTGTTCTGTACTGTCATGTCTGATCTTTTTATAGATCATGTGCACGTCATGTGACCTTACTTTATTTATAGATCATTTGCGAGTCATGTGACATCACACTATCACATTTCACATTTACATTGTGAAGTCCTGGGGTTTCAGCCTTACATTTTGTGCTGCAAAGTTGAGTTGCTTTTCGCAAATTTTGAAGCAATGACATTACGAGACCTAACACGATCCATTAAGTTATCTACTGTAAAACCACAAACGTTTTGTGAGAAATGTGTATTTTCATCTTGTTTCCAAAAAGTCATCAGCTTTGCCAAAATTTGTATTATTTTATGTAAAGTTATTCTCAAGGCTTTCAGCATCAGAAATTTTCAGTAAAATCCTTGAAAGTAAATCTGTTAATTTACAATCATGAAAGTTGAACATCACTTATGTCTCTCGTGGACTTACTTTTTGTCGATTACACTCGCTGAATATGCAACATAGTTTCATTACGTACCACTTGTTTTATTACTTTTATCATATTGTTTAAGAAAAATACACAAACAGAAAAAAAATATTTTAAAACAATTGTGTTTAAAAAATTCTCTTTTAAACTGAAAAGATATGTGTATTGTGCCATCTAAGAATTACATATGAAAAAAACAGTCTAATTTCAAATTCAAGGGTTCTCGTGTTTTACCTTGCCTCATGATGTGTTTTGTGTTAACAAAGAGAAAAAGACAAACAAGTGTTTTTTTTCGGGGGNATTTCTTGGAAACACTTTAAATGAGTTTAAAAAATGTTGTAGGATTTACGAAATTGTGTTGAATATTGAGTAATTGTCAAAAAGTGTATCCACACTATAGGCTAATAGACAATGTTAATAAATAACAGCATGTGAATAAGATGTTGATAGATTCATGGTGGACAGATTTAGTGAATCAGGGACATTTGAGTCAAAGTATACAAAAATTAACTTTAAACAGGTGTTTGGAAGATGATTTTGACAAATTGAAATCTATTAGATAGGTTTTAGTTTTAAAATTGATATTATTTAAATAGTTTTAAAATTGATATAATTTAAAATCCCATCCGGACAAGCTGTAGCTATAAGTAAACCAAGGGTAAAGGTGTGTTTTTTTGTGTAGCAAGAACAGCCTAATTTCAGATTCAAGGGTTTTCAGGTTTACCTTGCCTCTCTGTGATACATTTAGTATAATACTAGTCTTATTCCTTATTCGTCCTGTACATATGAGAAAGCTAATAATATCATGCTTCATTTATTTTGTAATTTCATTATTAATTCAAATACTGAAATGATTTGAATCTTTGTCATCTTTATTTAAAAATCAATGCTGCATACTACTTAATATTTCATCATCACTCAAGGTATTAATTATAATTGTTTGTAATTCTGGTGTACTGGGGGGGTAGTACAGGCCATGGGTAATATACAAATGACCTCAACTAGATCACCATGAATCTACGGACATCTGTAGAAAACACAGTTCCATGTTGACTAATCTCGTCATATCGTCACTCCTAAAGTTTTCTATGCATTTTGTTGAAGTTAAACAACATCACATGGAAATACATCTTCTGTAGATAAAGGATTATACAGTCCCTTTTCCTGGATAATTTTTCTCTCAAAACATTAGAAGTTTTATTATTTAGATTAATTTTCAGACCTATTTTGTTGAAATTTAATCATGCATTAAGAAAATGAAGGAAAATCTTAAGATAAATTCTATTTCAAAACCGGTTTTTGAAGTATTTTTGAGATCAGGAACATTTAAGTCTGACAATTTAGAAAAAAACTAATTTCATGAATTTTGAACATTGTTGATATACTTTTGGTTTCTACGGTACAGGGATAAAGGAAAAAAAAATTGAAACATTATTTGAATTTTAACCCGAGGAATTGGTAGGCAGTGACAATAATGTCTTCACTGAAGGGAAATAACTCTATCCAGGTTGGAAGATAATTTTTAAGTCTGCCAGTCTTGTGTTTCCATGGTGATGTGCTCCAGAGTTCCGTTGAATGGACAGGGTGGTTGGCCAGAATTTCTCTAGTTACCGTGGTTAAAGGTTTCCTCGCAGTGTTGTAATGTTTATCCAGATCTTATCTTTGGGGAAAGGATGTTTTCATTTTCATGTTAAACATATATATTTGTTGATTCTTGTTTTGAATGTTTTTGGTAAACATCGTTAATGTAAAGCTAAATTTGGATAAAACATTATCTTTGCTTTTTTTTTACATAATTGTAAAGATTTATAAAAAATATTGCATGTCAGAAACTTATAGTAAATTTTTGTATTATTTTTAATGAGATTGAAGATGATCAACCCTTGGCAATTTCTTTAGAAATGTTTTATATTTCTGAAAGGTTGGTGTTTGATAAACAGAATAACATCAATAGATGAATCCTATGTTTTAGAATTATGGGGAAACTGTCAAGGGAAAGTTCTAACTTAACAGAGCATTAGAGCTTTGCATGTTGTAAACTAACTAAGACATTGATGAATAAAAATTGTGGGCGATTATTTAGACACGTTTTGTTCCCAAGTATCAATCTTGATGTGTCCTCGCTCTTTCTAACTTAAGCCATCTAGATCAGGGTTGGATTAAGGGGCAGACAACCCCGATGATTGATGAGAAATGTAACAGATCTTGATCCATATGTCTATATAATTTCATGGAAATAAGTTATTGATTTCATTGTAAATGTTGGATTTCAGCTGCATATCAGTTAACAGATTGGGTGTTGGAAGTGCGATTTGAAAAGACCCATTTAATTAGTCATCATCTTTATATATTTTATCATCATTTTGTCATTCATATTCATGATAAACACAACTTTTAAACAGAACGCTTTCAAGCTTTTACTTGACTTAGATTGTTCAATAGACGGTGAATTTGTAATTCAGGCCTTACAAACATCGAGCCGATCATTGACGTCGGCCTAGCAACCACAGAAGGGTTGGCGATCGATTGGATTGGTCAGAACATCTACTGGGTGGAAAGTAACCTTGACCAGATAGAAGTGGCCAAACTGGACGGTAGTTACCGCACAACATTTATAGCAGGAGGCATGGTCAGTCCTCGTGCCATAGTACTGGACCCCAGGAAAGGGTATGTGGTCAGCTATGAATTTGTCCAATTCCTTCTAATTATGTATACATAATATTTAAGCTCATATTTTATTGTAAAAGGGGGGATTTTTGTGATGTATGCTTTCTTTTTTCACATTGTGTAAATTGGAAAAAATGAAAAAAGAAATGATGAGCAACAACACCACTGAATCCAGTACAAAATGTAATGTTTGATTTACATCCTAAGTTGTGAAAAAATATCTATGCATTATTATTCATCTTTAAATTATATAGTGTCAAACTTTGATGTTTCTAATATTGTGAGCACAACGAAAACTAGAGGATGGATTTTCCAATTATATTTTATGGATTCTTTCAACCGAAAAATAAAGCTAATACTTAATTTTTGTCCTGTAGGTCACTGTTTTGGACAGACTGGGATTCTGATAACCCAAGGATTGAGACGTGTTCGATGAGTGGACAGGAGCGCAAGGTCATCTTCAATATACAGTCAATCATGGGAGCAGGCTGGCCCAATGGGCTAACCATAGATTACGATTTCAATAGGCTTTACTGGATAGATGCCAGGTAGGTAGTGTCAGAACAGAGGTCATATCTAGCTGCTCGCCATAGACTTTAGGCTGTACTAGAGGGATGTTTGGTGGGTAGCAAGGTCAAGGGTCAAATGGGTTACCATAGATAGAGGCTGTACTGAAGGGCTGTTTGGTGGGTTGTGAGGTCAAGGGTCAAATGGGTTACCATAGTTAGAGGCTGTACTGGAGGGATGTTTGGTTGGTAGCAAGGTCAAGGGTCAAATGGTTTTACTATAGACTTGAGGCTGTACTGAATGACTGTTTGGTGGGTAATGAGGTCAAGGGTCAAGTGGTTTTACTATAGACTAGAGGCTGTTTGGTGGGTAGTGAGGTCAAGAGTCAAATAGACTGACCATAGACTAAGCTGTACTGGCGAGATGTTTGAGGGGTAGTGAGGTGAGAGGTTAGGGGTCAGAGGAGCTCACTATAGACTTGAGGTTGAACTTGATGGAGTCAATGGGTTCGGGATGATAATTATAGAGTTTGTAAGAAGTTTGTATGAACAATAAAGTATGTAAGCAGATCATCATGAAAGAAATTGTCTCAATGTCTTAACGTAATACAGAAGTATGCCTTTTGTTGGAAGAGATCCTCCGATAAACACAAGTTAGTTTGAGCGTGATCAAAATTGCAAAAATGCTAGATTCTACATTCTGGTATGAGTATTGGGTTATAAAGGCCCACAAACTGAAAGGTGGTGTTCATAATCAAAAAATGTTGTTATTGTAGGTCTGATTCCATCCATACCATTAAATACGATGGTTCTGACCACCGCCTCATCCTTAAGGGACATGAGAAGATGAGACATCCGTTTGCTCTGACACTGTTTGGAAACTATGTTTACTGGACCGACTGGAGTAGCAGTGCTCTTCTGAGGGTAAGTTTATATCCCTTCCCTCTAGGGGACAAGTAGTGTCCTCAGGGTAAGTTTACATCCCTTCCCTCTAGGGACCAGGTAGTCTCCTCAGGGTAAGTTTACATCCCTTCCCTCTAGGGACCAGGCAGTCTACTCAGGGTAAGTTTACATCCCTTCCCTCTAGGGACCAGGCAGTCTACTCAGGGTAAGTTTACATCCCTTCCCTCTAGGGGACCAGGCAGTCTTCTCAGGGTAAGTTTACATCCCTTCCCTCTAGGGGACCAGGTAGTCTCCTCAGGGTAAGTTTACATCCCTTCCCTCTAGGGACCAGGCAGTCTACTCAGGGTAAGTTTACATCCCTTCCCTCTAGGGACCAGGCAGTCTACTCAGGGTAAGTTTACATCCCTTCCCTCTAGGGGACCAGGCAGTCTTCTCAGGGTAAGTTTACATCCCTTCCCTCTAGGGGACCAGGTAGTCTCCTCAGGGTAAGTTTACATCCCTTCCCTCTAGGGACCAGGCAGTCTACTCAGGGTAAGTTTACATCCCTTCCCTCTAGGGGACCAGGCAGTCTTCTCAGGGTAAGTTTACATCCCTTCCCTCTAGGGACCAGGCAGTCTTCTCAGGGTAAGTTTACATGCCTTCCCTCTAGGGACCAGGCAGTCTCCTCAGGGTAAGTTTACATCCCTTCCCTCTAGGGGACCAGGCAGTCTACTCAGGGTAAGTTTACATCCCTTCTCTCTAGGGAACTCGTAGTGTCCTCCCGGTAAGTTAACATACCTTCCCTCTAGGGAAACTAAAGCCCTCCTTATGGGTGTATACAAGTCCCTACCCTCTATGCAACTTAAAGCCCTCCTTATGGTGTGTAAAAGTCCCTACCCTCTGGAAATTAGAGCCTTCCTCATGGTGTTTAAATGATCCATTCTCTCAGTGGGAATTAGAGCCTTCCTCATGGTGTTTAAATGATCCATTCTCTCAGTGGGAATTAGAGCCTTCCTCATGGTGTTTAAATGATCCATTCTCTCAGTGGGAATTAGAGCTCTCCTCATGGTGTATAACATTCCTTACCCTCTATGGGAACTAGCCCCCCCCCCCCCTATTGGTGTATGATGATCCCTTCCCTCTATGGGAACTAGTTGTATTTTCAGGGTAAATATATGTTGATTCTCTCAATGAGAAATAATGAGCTTTATTAAATTTAAGTGCTGTGCCCTTCCTGAATATAGTACCCTCTGTGTTTTTAGTTCTATGAAGAGGGTTTGATTTGAATTTTAATGATGATTACTGTCATTTACAGAAGATTTTGTTTAAATTTCCGTGTAGTAAAAGTAGTAAATCTCACCTGATATGTGTTCTGCCTGCAGGCCAACAAATTTAACGGCTCGGACGTAACGGTGATACAGAAGACTGTTTCGCAGCCTTTCGACCTTCAGGTGTATCACCCGATGCGACAGCCGATGGTGAAGAATCCTTGTGGCGATAACAACGGCAACTGTTCTCACCTGTGTCTGATTGGCTACAACCAGACCGCCTCCTGTATGTGCCCCCACCTTTACAAACTCGCAAAGGACAATCACACATGTGAAAGTAAGTTATCTCCCTTTGGTGTTTTTCCCGGATTTAAAGCCCCATCGAACTATGATAAAGTCATCCTAAGTCACTTGACAATACAAAGATATAAAATTCATACAATTAATACATTATAAGAATCTCACAGGAGCTGCCTTATCATATGCTGATACCTCCACGTGACTGTGTGCCTCTGTGTCTGCTGGAGTTGTATTAGTGTTTTGTTTTGCATTCGGACTATGCTTCCACTTACATTTTTAACCATCTATGAAAAGGATGAATGAGAGATAAAAAATGGTGTATATTCTATGAAGTTTTTCTCTGTTTTGGTTACTTTCATCATAAGTAACATTGTTTCCAGTTAAGTTAGCTCTTTTGTACGTACTCGTTAAACAACTGTCCTTTGATTGTAATAGAACAAACGATTATCTTTTATACTCTGTCGTAACCAACGCTTCCTGTTCCTGTCACCTTGACCTTAGCCATAGTTTATACTGACCTTGACCTTGCTTACAGATGACCACACCTTCCTACTGTTTGTGAAGACGAGCGAGATCAGAGGGGTAGATTTACTGGATGCTAACTACAATGTGATTCCGACCATCACAATCCCCAACGTGGACAAGCCCACAGCTATAGACTACGACCTGGAGGCTGAGCGTCTGTACTGGTCGGACAGTTCACTGAACCTCATCAACAGCGCCTACATCAACGGGTCAGGGGTCGAGACCATCATTGACTCGGGTATATACAATTTATTTGAGTTGTTCTGCTATTTTGAATCATCTGTAAACAAAATTTTCACATAAGGTTTTTAGGAATTTACAATCTTTAATTTTTCAAATTGCACTCAGTGAGTTCAAGGATTTTGAAATGTTTGCCTTTCTTTTCTTTAAGTACAGGAAACACCATATGATGCATTTTCTTCAATTCTAACTACAATTATACATTTTCTTCAATTTTTTCCATTTTTGTTTAGTTTCTGATGTAGAATAGCTCAGCCTGTCTTTTAACTAAATTTTCCCCTGCACTATTTTACATAGTAGATCTAGACCTGATGCTCACATTGATTAACTATCTAGGCCACCATGGCATTCAATCTGTCTAGACTTAATGTCTAAATGGTTTCTAATTATAACCTTTTTCTTCCCTACTCAGGAATTTCCAGCCCCCAGGGATTTGCCATAGACTGGTTATCCAAGAATATGTACTTTTCATCTCTGCCCTCCGGAGGACAGGATCAGAAGGCCAGCATCTCTGTCGCAAAATTGAACGGAGCATTCCGCGTAGAAATTCCACTGGATATCATCGGCAACAACCCCAGGTCTCTGGCGGTGCTGCCTACTGAAGGGTATGTGTTAAGTCTACAGGCGCCTTCAGACCATTAATAGCATTTAAAGATGAGAACCCTAGGATATTTAAATCCTAAATTTTGAACCCAAACTGTATTGGAAAACTTCCTTTGCAAACTTTCTAAAAGGTCTGTTTCCGTTGTCAAGGAAAGAGTGCAAACGACCGGCGTATTGTCTAGATCTGATGCCCACAATGTGCCGAGTCAGTAAATACAGCTGACAGAAACTGTAGAGACTTTTAGCCAAAAAGCGTTCTATTACTACAAAACTAGGATAAGTAGACTGATTTGTTGATATATTTATTTGTTGAATCTCTTTAATGTATAATTTCACACTTTTTTGCTGTTAGTGGAACCATTAGTTCTGGCCTTCAGGTAATAAATCCCTTTTCTTAGTAATAATGTGCGAAGTGATTACTGAATAAATTACAAAATGAAAAGCAAGGTTGGTCAGTATTTACTGTTTAATTTTCCTCTTTATGACCATTGAGGCATATTGATGCTAGTAACTGATTGTTTCACAGACAATGTCTTCCTGAACTCACTTGATTAACATTTCAAAACGCTGGTTCCTGCTTCCCCTCCCCCTCCCCCTCCCCCCGTGGTGAATGTAGTACCATTCGAATGTTGACTGCTGTTTCAGGTTACTGTTCTGGGCTGACCAAACACTCGGGACTGGATCCTTCATCATCTGTCGATCCAAGATGGATGGCTCGGACAGCAGAATCATCAGTCAACCCCAGCATCCAGTCAGTGAGTGTCTGCATCACCTATGTCGTTACTCTTTCTGGAGGCTAACTGCCAGCTGGTTTAGGCTACCCTTTTTGAAAAAATACCTATGTGGAATGCTGAAGATAAAGATTGGTGTTCGTATTCCAAAAAGATATGCATAAAACTGATTGTATTGACACCTGACTTTGAAGACATCTTGTAATACCTGATATTGATTTATTTCCCGAAAAGACGGATTTCTGAGATGTAAAAATAATCTGAAAGAAATAACTGCATACAGGGAAATGTTTCGTTGCAGTTTAACTTTTGCCTTTTTATCACTACAGCAAATACGTTGTTTTTTTTTTATCTTTCTGCATCTTCTACAAGCTTCTTACAAAATTAATTTTGCTCTGGTACAGTAGATTCTTACTTACTTCTGTTCTGAAAATGTTATTACACAGCAAACTATACATATAGTTATAACATGTGAAGGAGAAATTACACTGGGCAAATGAATATACATTTTACCATTGAATGACAAATATTTGACTAGGCGAAAGTGTCCCAATTAACAGTATTCGTGAAAATCAAAAGGCCTAAATTCGTCATATCTGGCTGTTCAGTTTGTAAAAAGAGGCCACTTAAATCAGGCGTCTTCAGGCCCCTTGAGCCTCTTGTTAAGCAACTTTTCACTGTATGAAACAATCTGTTTATTGGCAGCTTTGCGTAACAAACAATTTGTGTTGTTTCCCCCAGATCTACAGGTAGACCCTGGTGCACAGAAGCGTCTGTATTGGATAGAATTGGGAGGAAAAGTGGTGCACATGTCAGACATTGACGGAAGAAACGAAAAACAACTCACGAACTCAAAGTTACAAAGACTTCAAGCGTTTACGATCCACAAGGACAATACCTTCTATGTTGCCCAGACGACGGGTGAAATTGGCATGTTTACGATAACAAATGAAACGGAGCTAGGAATTAAGTACCGTGAGCTCCGAGACAAAACACAAGGCGTGACTGCTCTCAAGGTGTTTGACAACACAAGTCGCAGTGAGGGTAAGTTATCATTATTGAGATTGTCCAGCTTCAGCTACAGGCTATGCTCATTTAGAATGAAATTTAAATAACCCAAAGCTATTTGAAAAACTGTTAGTGTTTTTCAGTATATTTCATCCGATAAACACACACAAAAAGAGGTAACAGACATAGAAAGGGAGATAACAATAGCAGACAGGGAGATAACAATAGTAGACAGAGAGATAACAATAGCAGAAAGGGAGATAACAATAGCAGAAAGGGAGATGACAATAGCAGAAAGGGAGATAACAATAGTAGAGAGGGAGATAACAATAGCAGAAAGTGAGATAACAATAGCAGAAAGGGAGATAACAATAGCAGAAAGGGAGATAACGATAGTAGACAGGGAGATAACAATAGCAGAAAGGGAGATACCAATAATAGACAGGGAGAAAACAATAGCAGAAAGGAAGAAAACAAAAGCAGAAAGGGAGATAACAACAGTAGAAAGTGAGAAAACAATAGCAGAAAGGGAGATAACAACAGTAGAAAGTGAGAAAACAATAGCAGAAAGATAATGATAGCAGAAAGGGAGATAACAATAGCAGAAAGGAAGATAACAATAGCAGACAGGGAGATGACAATAGCAGAAAGGAAGATAGTAATAGCATAAAGGAACCTTATTATGACACAGCAAAATAACAATGTCAATAAGGGAGATCACAATGATAGAAGGTTAGAAACCCTTGACGGACGGAAAGTAACGATGACAAAGGAAATTAGCAATGACAGAAAGGGAGATTGAAATGAAAAAAGAGAGATGGCAATGACAGATAGAGGTTACTAGAACAGGAAGGGAGATAACAATGATAAAAGAGAGATCACAACAGAAATGGAGGTAACTAGGACAGGTAGGGAGACAATAAAAAAAAGAGAGATAACAATGACAGAAATGGAAGTAATTAGGACAGGAAGGGAGATAACAATGATAAAAGACAGATGGCAATGACATCAAGGGAGGTAACAAGGACAGGAAGGGAGACAATAATGATAAAAGAGAGATGGCAATGACAGAAATGGAAGTAACTAGGACAGAATGGGAGATAATGAAAAAATAGAGATGGCAATGACAGAAATGGAGGTAACTAGGACAGGAAGGGAGACAACAATGATAAAAGAGAGATGGCAATGACAGAAGTGGAGGTAACTAGGACAGAATGGGAGATATTAATGACAGAAAGGGAGGTAACTAGGGCAGGAAGGGAGATAATGATGTAAGAAAGGGAGGTGACTGTGACAGAATGGGAGATAATAATGACAGAAAGGGAGGCAACAACAATAGAAAAGGTTTTAAATAGTGACTTATACTATTTTATGTTTCAGGGACGAATGGTTGTTCAAATAACACCTGTGCGCAGCTGTGTCTTCCAACAGGAAAAAAGACCCATATCTGTAAATGTACTGCGGGATATCACATCAACGGCACCAAGTGCACAAGTATGTCCTATATACCACATACTGCTACCTGTTTTTGAGCCTACCTTCTACCTCAATTACCAAAAACACATAATTTTTTAAAACTATTATTTAATATGTAATAGTGGCAGGTATTAATCACATGGTATTTCAATTTAACTGTATGTAAGCTTTATCGGCTGCTAATTATTGTTACATGGACAATTTAAAGGTAAGAATAAGGATCAAAACAAAACCTTTCCGATTTGCGTTCCGTGCAACGCTATTTATTTGGATATTATTTTCAAAAGTCTATTTTATCAAAACTGTTGCTAGTTTAGAAAAGAGCCTGTTTGACTCTCAAATATTTGAAATATGTCTTCTGTTTTGCTGATCTTGATGGTTTATCCCAAAATATTAGCCAAAATACCGAAGTGTTCCATTCAGGGTACAGTCACGCCGGTTCAAGGGCCTCCGTAACCCTGATGGTATTTCGTGTTTTATTCATAGAACCACGCGCCCAAAATATCAACTTGTAATAGAAATGAAAAGTGGATAGTATCTATTTATGAATAATTAACAAACATTTTTGGAACAAATAGTATGGTATAAAAAACATTGATATTAATATAAAAAATGTCCCGATAGGTAACGTGACGTTAAACGTACACACCATATTATCAAAAGACTTCAAGGTTTAATGGTCATTCATCGTGAGAGCCTTGGTTTGTATAGCAAGCATAAACAAAAATGATGTTATTATCCTCTCAATGTTTTTTCGTAACTCCATATAGATTTTTTTAAGATAAACCATTTTCTTACGCAGATCACCTTTGTGTGGATACAATATCTGGTTCCTTACATCACCATGGCACTTTTTTTGTTTTTCTCTTTTGTTGAGAAAATATATTCCAAAATGGGAAAATCCATTCTCAAGTTCTTTTCAAGTTGTTGACGAGTTGTTTTCAACTTCTTTTCGAGTATTCTCATACTGACAACCCATGATAATGACACATCATGGTAGGTGGTATCAGGAGGGATATAGATGATAGTAGGTATTTATCACATTGTATTTGAGTACAGTAATTTTCTCATTGTATATAAAAGTACAGGTATTTTTTACGTTTATTTTGATTGATGGTTTTGTTACAGGTATCGACTCCTTCCTGATGTATTCGTCAAGTAGCGAAATCCACGGAATATCCTTCAACCTTACCAACAACGTGACTAAAGCTCTTCCTCTTATCTCAAAAATATCTAAAGCAAGTTCCATCGACTTTAATGCAGGTAACTTTAATTTTGTCCCGTAACTTTTCATCAATTTACAGGATACTTTTCACATTATTTCAGGATAAATTTTCCTTTCAAGAAAAAGAACGATATTTTTTTTTCTTTTTCTCCGTACCAAACTCCACCTGAATGTCCTTCCATCCAATAAACCACAAACACAATGTAATATATTTTTGTTAACCCTTTCACCACTGTAGTCCATAATTGACTCATCCATATCAATGCATGGTTGAGTCTACTAAAGTTACATAGGGGTGAAAGGGTTAAGCTGTATCTTATTTTAAATCTCTGTAATTTCAAAACATGAAAACTCTGTGAATTTTAAATAAAAAATTGTTATAGTGAAAACATAATTTGTATGGCCTATGACATAAATGCATGTATGACCTAATCATTTTAGCTGCAGATCACATTTACTGGGTTGACGCCCAGTCTAATTATGTGTCCCGAGTGAAACGAGATCTCACTGAACGGGATACCATCGTCCACCAGGAAATTCGTGGCATCCAAGGAATAGCTGTGGACTGGATATCAGGTATCAACTTTAGCTATCTTATTGTTTTAATTCCAATCCGATATTAACTCATTCACCCCTGAAGACACATTTGAACTCTTCCATTTCAAAGGTTGGAATAGTTAATTATGAAATTTCGGGGGTGAATGAGTTAAAAGGTTGTGAATATGAGGGTCTCACCCATTTAGATACACATCAGCACATGGACCCAATGTCAACACGAGGGCCTTGTCCATATTAGCACCAGAACCTAATATTAAGCTGAAGGCTGGGTGTTCGGTTAATGCAGTGAATAGCGCACTTGCCTTTCAACAAGGCGACCCAGTGTTTGATTCCTCGATCAGACGTGAAAAGGTTGGGGTCACCTGCCCGACCACCTGGGTTTTCTCCAGATACTTCAGTTTCGTCCCACAATAAGACCCCCCCGCACGCTAACTAACCGGCCAACAAGAGTGATAAATATAAGTTGAAATAACCTGTTTCATAATTTTTATAAATAAATAATGTTTATATTAGAGAGCTGTACGGGTCGAAGGTAAAAAATTCATTATTATATATTTCAGTGTTTAATACACATTCCTTGATTTCCCCAAGGTATTCCGAAGGAGTATGATAGTCTAAGAATGCAGTAAAGGGGAAAAACAGAGGTATTCCGAAGGAGTATGATAGTTTAAGAATGCAGTAAAGGGGAAAAACAGAGATATTCCGAAGGAGTATGATAGTCTAAGAATGCAGTAAAGGGGGGAAATTAAAGGTATTCTGAAGGGGGTTCGATTTAGGGGCAAATTGGGCACAATAAAGGAGATTCATTCAAGGTATTCAAAAAGGGGGCTTGGTTGAGAGTCAAATGACGCAACAAGGAAGTCCAATAGTACTTTTCACAGAAGGGGATATGATTTAAGGTCAGAGGATACAATTTCAATTGAGGTATACATAAGGTGTTCAATTTAAGGTCAATTTGTTCAGTTTAATAAGGACGTCCAAAATAGGTTTTCTGAAGGGATATGATATTGGGTCAAACCCCCCCCCAAAAAGGAGGTTCAATAAAAGTATTCTTAAGGGGTTTGATAAATCTTAAGGATCAAGACTTTTGATGAAGGGGCTGTTACAGACTTTGGATGAAGGGGCTGTTACAGACTTTTGATGAAGGGGCTAGCTGTTACAGACTTTTGATGAAAGGGCTGTTACAGACTTTTGATAAAGGGGCTGTTACAGACTTTTGAGGAAGGGGCTGTTACAGACTTTTGATGAAGGGGCTGTTACAGACTTTTGATGAAGGGGCTGTTACAGACTTTGGATGAAGGGGCTGTTACAGACTTTTGATGAAGGGGCTGTTACAGACTTTTGATGAAGGGGTTGTTACAGACTTTTGATGAAGGGGCTAGCTGTTACAGACTTTTTATGAAAGGGCTGTTACAGACTTTTGATAAAGGGGCTGTTACAGACTTTTGATGAAGGGGCTGTTACATACTTTTGATGAAGGGGCTGTTACAGACTTTTGATGAAGGGGCTGTTACAGACTTTTGATGAAGGGGCTGTTACAGACTTTTGAAATACAGTGAAGTTGCTGTATCAATTATACGACACATAAAAAATGCCTTGTACAAGCACTGTAGTACTTGTTTCCTTATCATCTTTAGACATTGTCTTTTTGCAAATGGACATGTTGAAAAAAAAAATGAAAAAAAAAATTGGAACTTGATATCTAAACAATTTCTGTATGAAGAAGTTTGTATATATACATGATGACTATATATGTATGTATATGTTCCCTATTTCTAAACAATATGTAATTTGAAATTTCGAACATTTCATGTAAGTATCCAGCATTTCAGGTCGTACGATGGTACGCTCCGTTATGATTTTCACTGAGACAGTGTTGTTTGTACTTTCTGTAGACAACGTGTACTGGACCGACTTCGGCTCCGATGTGATTGAAGTTGTCAGACTGAGCAATGTTGACCATCGCTTTGTCGTCATTCATGGCAACATGAACAACCCTCGGACTATTGTTGTTCACCCTGTAGCTGGGTAAGTGAGAGTGTATTCATCTGTCTGTCACTAAAAGAACATTTTTTTCTTCAAATGCTTTTTTTTTTTAAATCTTATTCTTCTAAAAAGATATAATAAATCAATTTAAAATGTATATTTTTTTCATCAACACAAGATAGTCTATTAAATTGTTTTAGCTTGATTAGATGAGACTTTTTATCTATTTTTTTTGGTGTTTTTAGAAAAAAGTGAATTGTATTCTGAAGAGTTAATTGACACCAAGATATTTCTGATAATGATGTTTGGCAAAGAAAGATTACCACAGTGTTAAGAATATGTTTGCCATAGCTTACCAAAATGTTGTGAGTTAACCAGTGTTGCGAGTTTACCAGTGTTGTGAGTTTACCATTGTTGTGATATTACCAGTGTTGTGAGTTTAGCAGTGTTGTGAGCTTAGCAGTGTTGTGAGTTTAGCAGTGTTGTGAGTTTACCAATGTTGTGAGTTTACCATTGTTGTGATATTACCAGTGTTGTGAGCTTAGCAGTGTTGTGAGTTTACCAGTGTTGTGAGTTTACATGAGTGTTGTGAGTTTACCAGTGTTGTGAGTTTAGCAGTGTTGTGAGTTAACCAGTGTTGTGAGTATACCAGTGTTGTGAGTATACCAGTGTTGTGAGATTACCAGTGTTATGAGTTTACTGGAATTTTGTGAATCGGTTTTACACATAAATCACCCAAGATTTTGTCAATGTATTTGTAGGCTTCTATTCTGGACAGACACAGGCATTCAACCAAAAATAGAACAGGCACGATTAGACGGAACAAAGCGTAAAGTCCTAGTGGACACTAATGTTACGGCACCCTACGGACTGGCCATCGACTACGTCACAAACGTCCTGTACTGGTGTGACAACAGCCTCAACAAAATAGAGGCCATTCACATAACCACTGGCAACAGGAAGCTCCTCCTAGATCACGATGTGGACAGCTGTGTAGCCTTGACCTTGTTTGAGGATCATGTCTACTGGCTAGAGGGGTAAGTGTCTATAAATAGCTCTCGGGTAAATCTTAATCGGCCTTCTGAAACATGTACCTGCCGTTCTTTCCATGCCAGGTGCCATCAAAGTCTACTTAAGTAAATAATTGATACAAGGGAAAATGTCTGCTAGTGGATGTTCAGTGAATGAGTTTGCTTACCGCAATTGATGAATTCCGAAACGGAATTCACTAGTCCAGACATAAGAGTAATCAAAATTCAGTAGAATCGATGACCAGACAACATGAAATGGGGAGTCTCGGCAAATTTAATCCAGTCTTGGCCGAAAAATGAGAATTGGATTAAATTATCCTGCGACTCCCCATTTAATGTTGTCTTGTCATCCCTTATTTTGAATATGGTAAATAATTGTTAATGATTAAAATCAAAGTTTAACAGAATCCTGTCCTTCTGTGGAAACAACCCAATATCACTATGACCTAAGACCAAATTAAAAAACTTAATCATTTAGGTCAAGGTCAGATTTGTTAAGTGTCATTCCGTTCCAGCCTGTGAGACATCAACTAAGTGTACCATAAAAAATAACTGTTGATGGTTAAGAGCTCAAGGCAAGACTCTTGTTCCTCCGTTAAAACCCCCCCTGATATAAGCTACATATACATTTTAAAACTGATAATATAGGTCAACGTCAAATGTCATTCTGTCCTCACCAGCCATCATCTAAGTCTATTGTAATAAATACACGTTACTGGTTAAGGTCAAGGTCAAAAACATTTCTCTCCTTCTGTTGAAACAACCTTCCAGGTAATATAAACTACCATACACCTAATTTTAAAAAATGATAATCTAGGTCAAGGCCAAATCTTTCATTTCCATTCTGTCCTCACCAGGCTGCCTCTAGACTAAATGTAAATGAAAAAATGCTAGTTAACCAATAAGTTTAAGTATGAACCAGATACTTTTCATTTTGACCTCAGACTGGCTGGGAGCTATAGACCAATGTTAGTGAGACAATAATTGGGTCCAACAGGTTCCTCCCGTTCTGTCCTAGTCCTGTCCTAGTCCTATCCTCTGTCCTAGTCCTGTCCTCTGTCCTAGTCCTGTCCTAGTCCTGTCTAATGTGGAGAGTTCCCCTCAGAAAAGAATATAAAATTTCAAATCCTGTCTTGATATGTGTACAGAGAAATCAAAATTCAAATGCTTTAAAAATTGCAAATAATATTTCAAAAAATGAACAAACTGTACAAAAACTGGAAAAAAAGTTGATAAGAGTGCAGGGAAAAACTTGAACAAAAAAGTAATTTGTCCTTGAACTGTGTTCATGGATTTTTCAGTCATATTTATCTGAGCATGATAGGGGAGTTTTAACTAACGGTATCATGAACTCTTTTTGGGCCATAGGGATGTCATTGGAAAGATCAAGCGTGCAAACAAAACGGATGGCTCCAATGTGGAGGAAGTAAAGACGAACCTGGGTCCGGACATGCAGGATATCAAAGCTTACGACACACAACGACAACAAGGTAACCATGGCTACAGGTCACATGATCACAAAGTGGGTTATTTCAAAAGGACAATAGAAAGGATAGCTACAGTTGATCTTATATGTCACTTCTGCAATGTCGGTTAGTGTGGTGTCAATTTGTGAGATTCTGTTGTGATTTCTACCAGAGTCTGTAAAAATGGTAGTTTCTACTCCTGCTTATAATGCTCAGCAATTAAGGATTGGGACGACTGGTTCGCCCGTTCTTAGTATAATGTGACCGGGTGGGGGTGTCCTGCTGGGTGTCTTCGGCAGTATGTTTCAGTGAAGTAGCACTATAAAGATGGCATCAGTTCCGCGCTATCACTGAAATAAAGGAGACAGACACAAACATAACGCAGCCTCCCAAAACACACACGCATACACTACACGCATGCATCTTGCACACAGGGGAGGCCATCCTTAAATTACCGTAGCTGTTGACAGGACGTTAAACAACACTAAAAACCAAACCACAAACCAAACCAAACCAATCTCGGTTCAGACATGGTGAAGAAGAGATATTTTTGGAATTACTTCGATTTCAGGAATTCTTGATCAGTTTTCAACATGAGTAAACGTGAAATTTAAATAACAACAATCTACCTGTTTAAAAACTTTTTCTTTGAAATTTGACTTATCTCGATCATTACAGTATAATGGGATATCTTTTAAGCCATTTTGTTTTTTTACAATTTTAACTTAATTTGAAAATGTGAACTGTTGTGTCTTGGTTATAAATCACATGACAGATTGGCGTTATCGTTTGTTAGCGATATCCTTATGTTACAAAGAAAAATCATCGTCGTTATATCAAGCTAAACAATTGTAAGTGACAATACCACACAGTGATTGAATTATAAGATTATTTGATTTAAAAAAAAACTTATAAATAGGTGAACTGTGTTCTTTGCCGGGGTACTGTGAAGTGTTTCCATGGCAAGGATCAGTACATATAAAGATATTCCTACATATTTTTTTCCATGAAAACATTTTTTTGTCAAAAAAACCCTTCACTTTTTGGTGTTGGACATTGAGAGTATTGTGATACCTACTGTGTTACAGGAGTAAACCCCTGTAGTGTGGACAATGGTGGCTGCCAGGAGTTCTGTTTCCATGTTGGGAACAGTGTTGTCTCTTGTAACTGTTCCTATGGCAAGGTGGGCAGTGACGGCAAGACTTGTGAAGGTGAGATTTAGTTATTTACACAGAAAATTGTCTATAGGGAAAACAAAAGCAAAATTGTTCGATTACCCTTTATAGACAGGTGACCATTAGGGGATTTTACAGGCAGGTGATTGCTATAGAGATTATAAACACTTAAAGCTCAGCTGAAAAGATATGGTTGAAAAGGCAGATACATATATGATGTAAAATCTAAGGCAGATCTATACAGATATAGTCTTAAAGGCAGATATATATAGATTACTTCTCTCAGGCAGATCTTCAGAGATGTTCTCTAAGGCTGCAGACCTTTAGATATGTTTTCTATGGCTAATCTATAGAGATGGTCTCTGAAGCAGGTATATAGAGATTTTCTCTAAGGCAGAACTGTAGATATGACTTATCTAAGGCATATCTATAGAGATGACTTCTCTAAAGCTGATCTTTAGAGATTTTCTTTAATGCATATCTTCAGAGATGTTCTCCATGGCAGATATTTAGATATGGTCTCTAAGGCAGATATATATAGATGTTCTCTAAGGTAGTTATATAGAGATGTTTTCTAAAGCAGTTATAATTATATATAGATGTTCTCTAAGGCAGATATATATAGATGTTCTCTAAGGTAGATATATAGAGATGTTCTCTAAAGCAGATATATAGATATGTTCTCTAAGGCAGAACTGTAGATATGACTTTTCTAAGAATATCTATAGAGATGATTCCGCTAAAGCTGATCTTTAGAGATTTTCTCTAATGCATATCTCAGAGATGTTCTCTAAGGCAGATCTTTAGATATGGTCTCTTAGGCATATCTTTAGAGATGTTCTCTAAGGCAGATCTTTAGATATGGTCTCTAAAGCAGATATATAGAGATGTTCTCTAAGGTAGATATATAGAGATGTTCTCTAAGGTAGATCTATAGAGATGTTCTCTAAGGTAGATCTATAGAGATGTTTTCTAAGGTAGAGCTGTAAATATGATCTCTAAGACCGGAATACTAGAGATGTAAAATCTAATGAGGATCAGATATTTTCAATAATCACATCATATAAGTTTGATGATATTATGGTTAACTTATTAACATTTTGAAAGTTTGGGGAAAAAATGAGAAATAATTATTGTATGGAAATATAGTTATTACTATTTCTCAGAATTGAAAGTAACAATTTTTAGGTTAAAATACAAAAAATGTTTATTTTCTGTAAGGATTCACACCTGTAAAATTGTCATTTCACTGTTCTGATCACATATATATACTTGTAATAAGATAATGATTGGCACCCTTTTTTCCAAGGTCATGACTCGTTCCTGCTCTTCTCAAAAGTGACACACATCGTAAGCATTAGTCTAGACGAGCACAATCCAAACCTCCCAATGAAGATGATCACTAACTCGGATCATCTCCGTAATGTGATTGGTCTCGCCACTGATTACAAATCAAAGCGTATATTCTTCAGTGACATCCAGCGCGGGGACATACAGTATGTCCACTTCAACAGTTCCGATTTCTACATCGTAGTGGAGGGTAAGTCGTAGTGGGGGGTAAGTCGTAGTGGAGGGAAAGTCGTAGTGGAGGGTAGGTTGTAGTGGAAGGAAAGTCGTAGTGGAGGGGAAGTCGTAGTGGAGGGAAAGTCGTAGTGGATAGTGGAGGGGAAGTCGTAGTGGAGGGTAAGTCGTAGTGGAGTGTAGGTTGTAGTGGAAGGAAAGTCGTAGTGGGGGGTAAGTCGTAGTGGAGGGTAAGTCGTAGTGGATAGTGGAGGGTAAGTCGTAGTGGAGGGGAGGTTGTAGTGGAAGGAAAGTCGTAGTGGAGGGGAAGTCGTAGTGGAGGGAAAGTCGTAGTGGATAGGGGAGGGGAAGTCGTAGTGGAGGGGAAGTCGTAGTGGAGGGTAGGTTGTAGTGGAAGGAAAGTCGTAGTGGGGGGTAAGTCGTAGTGGAGGGAAAGTCGTAGTGGATAGTGGAGGGGAAGTCGTAGTGGAGGGTAAGTCGTAGTGGAGGGTAGATTGTAGTGGATGGAAAGTCGTAGTGGAGGGTAAGTCGTAGTGGAGTGTAGGTTGTAGTGGAAGGAAAGTCGTAGTGGGGGGTAAGTCGTAGTGGAGGGAAAGTCGTAGTGGAGGGGAGGGTGTAGTGGAAGGAAAGTCGTAGTGGAGGGGAAGTCGTAGTGGAGGGGAGGTCGTAGTTGTAATTAACTCTAATTAATCTACAGAGTAATTAACTTCAATAATAAATCTATAGTGTAATCAGTGTAATTAACTTCAATAGTCTCTGATATTTGATTATTATGGCACTGTGAGGTCGAGGTATAGAAATCATTCAAAGGAATTTTGGAACAATAAAACTGTTTTTCTCTGTGTATTTCGGTTCTTAGAAAAAAATGTTTTTACACGATATTGAGGAAACACCTGGGGCCTGATCGTTTAGACGAAGCAACCGCTTTGTCTTTTTTTAACTGTAACATTTTCTGATATAAATCCTAACTGACCTTCAAATGTTTATGCAGGCCATTCAAGGCTTTATAAGGGCTCGTCTGATAGCGGCAGTACATTACTAGGTCTGATCATATTTCATAAATGAATAACTCTGGTCCAACCGTGCCAATCGTTTGGATCGCAATAAACAAATTCAGCCCTGGTACTTTTAAATTTGTAATGGCCCTAGACATCTGCTGCATTAATTGATACATTCCTGTCTGAGGTCTACCTGTACCAGACCATGTGTTTCTCACCTCAGACCCTGTGATTTGACCTTTAACCCCCTCTTGTTTGTAGGAGTGGGTTCAGTGGAGGGTCTAGCGTACGAGGGGTTCAGCAACTACCTGTACTGGACCAGTTACACAAACTCATCCATCAGTCGGGCCCACATCTCGGAGAAGGACGACCCCCTACACAACACCACGGTGGAGAAGATTATACAGCTCGGCGTGTTTGATCACCCGAGGGCCATCGCTGTCGACAGCTGCTCTGAGTATGTCTTCTGTATTGTTACAAAATATAATCAGTTCAAATACTGGGCATGTTCTCATGAAATCATTCTACTGGCATGTTCTCATGAAATCGTTCTACTGGTATGTTCTCATGAAATCGTTCTACTGGTATGTTCTCATGAAATCCTTCTATTGGCATGTTCTCATGCAATCATTCTACTGGCATGTTCTCATGAAATCATTCTACTGGGCATGTACTCATGAAATCATTCTACTGGCATGTTCTCATGAAATCATTCTACTGGCATGTTCTCATGAAATCATTCTACTGGCATGTTCTCATGAAATCATCCTATTGGCATGTTCTCATGAAATCATTCTACTTGCATGTTCTCATGAAATCATTCTACTGGCATGTTCTCATGAAATCATCCTATTGTCATGTTCTCATGAAATCATTCTACTTGCATGTTCTCATCAAATCATTCTACTGGCATGTTCTCATTAAATCATTCTACTGGCATGTTCTCATTAAATCATTCTACTGGCATGTTTTCATGAAATCATTCTACTGGCATGTTCTCATGAAATCATCCTATTGGCATGTTCTCATGAGATCATTCTACTTGCATGTTCTCATGAAATCATTCTATTGGCCTGTTTTCATGAAATCATTCTACTGGCATGTTCTCATGAAATCATTCTACTGTCAAACTGAAAATCATTACAGACAAGTATTCACAAGACCCTTACGCATTTCTGTTAATTTATGTGGGGTACACTTCTTCTCAGGAAAACTGTTACAAGAGTATTGCAAAAATTAAGATTCCAAAAAGAATTCCTTAACGTTATGTGACTATGAATGCCTTTCTATTCAGTTTTGCTGCTTTTTTTTTTCCATGACAAAATCCTATACAGATAAAATCCCAAAAATTAGTATTCACAAAAAATAAAAGGTTGACAGTAACAGATAAGCTTAATGTATGCAGTCATGTATTGTATTCCTAGCTAGGTTTGGCAATTTATCATTTTGACTTTTGTTTATTTTGGGTAACTGGTTACAAGAAGTGACATTTAACTCATTCACCCCTGCAAACACCTTTGAACTCTTCCAATTCAAAAGTTGGAATAGTTCATTATGAAATTTCAGGGGGTGAATAAGTTAAGTTCAGCTCTTGACTCACTGACTTTTTTACTTGCAAAAGTTATTTGGAAACATTGCTTTGCTGTTTCAGTCGATTGTTTTGGACAAACTGGCACGATGAACAACCAAAGATCCAGAGGGCTTTCCTGAATGGTTACATGCCCGAGTCAATAATCACGGAGGAAATCTGGACACCTAATGGGCTGACCATTGACCATGTTGAACAACAACTGTACTGGTCAGATGCCAGGCTGGACAAGATTGAGCACTGTGACTTTGATGGCAAAAACAGGAAGGTCAGTTAGCCCTCCCACCACTGTGGACCGTAAAGGATTCATCCAGATAAATGTATGGTAGAGTCTACTAAAGTTACTTAGGGGTGAAAGGGTTAAATATACACGATAGGCAGTTCATGCAAGTACAATTCATTGGAAATGCTCAAGATTGCTATTTCATTTTTCCTTGTGCTGAAATAACCTCCCACCCCCCACTGTTAAGTTAATATGTTGACTCCCTGGGTTTATTTTAGGTTAAATGCTGAGTAACTTCCCTGAATGTAAGTGTATATTGTAAAAAACTAATAATCATACTTGCCACCTTTTTGAAATGGGGGATATTACACCTGTTCAGAATCAAAAGCATGAATAATGTGTGTGTATGTAAGCCCTAGGGGAAAAACACTGTTAAAAGCACCTTTTGAGCTGTTCTTTCAGATGAAATCATTAGATGTTGGAAAATAGGAATAGTTTATCAAATTCACTAGTTGAAAATGGTCAATTTTAGGGTTCAAAATAGGAAGTCCCACTGCAAAATAGGGAGAGTTGGGAAGTGTGAATAATATTGAGGCCAATGTAGATTTTAGGAAGGGTGGCAAATTATGTGTGATTAAATGATATTGGAGAGACATCCTTAATTTTGATTGGTTGATGTTTTATTAGTGCTTATATGCCAGTACAGTGGGAGACATTCTTCAGAGATGGTTGTTGATCTACATACAGCAAGTTTGGCCTTTGGTCCCCAGTTATAATATAAATAGACAGTTGAGGGTGGTCAGGTGGTGAAGGGAATAGCGCACTCACCTTTCCCAAAAAGGGCAAGGGTTTGATTCCCCGATAGGACGTGGAAAGGTATGGGGTCACTGGCCATACCAATTAAGTAGTACTCTGGTTTCCTCCCGTGTTCTGACTCCTTGCGTACTAATATCTAAGCCAACAAGATGATTAATACAAGTTTATGTGACCTGTTTCATATGTGTTGTAAAATAAGTAAATATCATGTTGTTTTCAATAGACAGTTCTTGACCATGTTTTCTATAATTGGACTGACCTTGGCCTTTGTTCCTTTGTTAAGGTCGTGGTGTCTGCCATGCCGGAACATCCATTCAGTCTGGCGGTGTACGGTCAGTATATCTACTGGACAGATTGGATTCGCCGTGCCGTGATGCGGTCAAACAAATACGATGGCGGCAATGTGTTCTGGATGAAGCGTGACCTTGAGCGCCAACCAATGGGGATCACAGTTGTAGCGGAGGATGCCAATAACTGTAATTTCTTTACTTTGAAATCTCTCTTTGTACTGTAGCATTCTGAATAAGCTCATGTTTTCTCCCCCATGGTTCAATGTGTTTTACAAGTTTCATCTGGACTCTTTAAGAACCATAATCCAAATATCCAAATCCCTCCCCAGGATAATTGTTTCATCTCTGCCATTGCTAGTTTTCCTGAATCTTTCCTGCTGTTGGCCTTTTCTGCCAACTACATTCCCATTGTAGGCCGTCTGGCCCCTTCCCATTCAGTCATTAGTATGAATGTGAATATGTATTTGATCCTGCCTCCTCAGAACACATTTTCCATTGTCCCTACATGTATTGGCTCCATTCCAGGTACGATGAGTCGCTGCTACAATCACAAATGTGAGAACAACTGTTCGGTGATCAACGGGCATGCCCAGTGTGTATGTGGCAAGGATCTCTTCCTGTTACCAGACGGTCACCGCTGTGGACGTAAGTCATTAACAATAATATCCTGACAATTAAGGGTGTATGCTATGTTTTTTTGACAGTTGAGGGTGTATGCTATATGTTATTTTGACAGTTAAGGGTGTATGCTATGTTACTGTGACATTTAAGGGTGTATGCTATGTTACTTTGACAGTTAATGGTGTATGCTATGTTACTGAGACAGTTAATGGTGTATGCTATGTTACTGTGACAGTTAAGGGTGTATGCTATGTTACTGTGACATTTAAGGGTGTATGCTATGTTACTGGGACAGTTAATGGTGTATGCTATGTTACTGGGACAGTTAAGGGTGTATGCTATGTTACTGGGACAGTTAAGGGTGTATGCTATGCTACTGGGACAGTTAATGGTGTATGCTATGTTACTGTGACAGTTAATGGTGGGAAATATGCTATGTTACTGTGACATTTAATGGTGTATGCTATGTTACTGTGACAGTTAATGGTGTATGCTTTGTTTCATTAATAACCTGACAGTTGAGGGTGTATGCTATGTTACTTGACATTTAAGGGTGTATGCCTGGTTACTGTGACATATAAGGGTGTATGCTTTGTTTCATTAATAACCTGACAGTTGAGGGTGTATGCTATGTTACTTGACATTTAAGGGTGTATGCCTGGTTACTGAGACATATAAGGGTGTATGCTATGTTACTGTGACAGTTAATGGTGTATGCTTTGTTTCATTAATAGCCTGACAGTTGAGGGTGTATGCTTCGTTACTTGACTTTTAAGGGGGTATGCCTGGTTACTGTGACATATAAGGGTGTATGCTATGTTACTGTGACAGTTAAGGGTGTATGCTATGTTACTGTGGCATATAAGGGTGTATGCTTTGTTTCATTAATAACCTGACAGCTGAGGGTGTATGCTATGTTACTTGACATTTAAGGGTGTATGCCTGGTTACTGTGACATATAAGGGTGTATGCTATGTTACTGTGACAGTTAAGGGTGTATGCTATGTTACTGTGGCATATAAGGGTGTATGCTTTGGTTCATTAATAACCTGACAGTTGAGGGTGTATGCTATGTTACTGTGATATTTAAGGGTGTATGCTATTTTACTGTGACAGTTAATGGTGTATGCTTTGTTTCATTAATAACCTGACAGTTGAGGGTGTATGCTATGTTACTGTGATATTTAAGGGTGTATGCTATTTTACTGTGACAGTTAATGGTGTATGCTTTGTTACTGTGACATTTAATGGCATATGCTATGCTTTTTTTACAGTTAAGGGTGTATGCTTCGTGTTATTAATAACCTCACAGTTGAGGGTGTATGCTTCGTGTTATTAATAACCTCACAGTTAAGGGTGTATGCTTTGTTTTATTAATAACCTCACAGTTGAGGGTGTATGCTATGTTACTTTGACAGTTAATGGTGTATGTTATGTTACTGTTATATTTTAATATTCTCCTGTCTAAGAGAGTTTCACAATTAATAACCGGTAAATTATCTTTTGCAAAAGGTAATTCAGTCCAAATTGATGGCACTCTTAAGAGGTGTGTGGGAGCGGGCATCAAATCATGTCTTGAATACATTTCCTAGTTCTCTATAGGATATTAACAAAGAATATTAGCCATCCAATTAGACAATTTATCTTTATCATATATCTAACAAGATTTGACTCTGTGCTGAATTCTTCTTTTTCTTCAAGGGCAAAAAAAGGCTGAAACCATCTAAACAATTAAGATTTTGATGTTATTGACTGGATTTTGTAATAATCTTACTATTTTTTACTGTTAACCTTTGACCTTGATGAAGTATTACTGCATTGAACTTTGACCTTGATGCAGTATTAAATTGTTGACTTTTACCTAAACACAGTTTGTATAACTGTGTCGACTATTGACCTTGGCAGAGAATTAATGTGCTCTGACCTAGAGGCAGTATCAACTTGTACACTTTTATGTTTGTGCAGTACAACATGTTAACCTTTGACCTTGCAGCAGCTAACACGTCCTGTGGAATAACAGATTTCGTGTGCCACGATAAGAAGGCCTGTATATCTATAGAGAAGCGATGTAACAAGTTCAACGACTGTTTTGATGCTAGTGACGAGCACACGGATGTGTGTAGTAAGTATTTGAATAAACGTTGCTCATCATGCAGGTCAAATGTTTGAGCCCATAATAATCGTAGGCTCAAATAAACAGAAACTTGTCGAAACCAAACACCACTGGGACCACAATAATAAACAATTATAATGTATTGGGCTTGAATGATATAGGAAGCTTCTGGTCCCAAATTTCTCGAGGCAAATCAGAGGGATATAGGTTTCATCCAGGGGAACCAGAAAGCTTGCTAAATCCCTTAATCCCATACTTAAACTATTTTGTCATACCAATACATTTCTGAGATTAAATTACGGAAAATATGTCCAGGGAGTTAGACTGCACATCCGAAAATAGCCTAGGGAGTTAGTCTGCAGGATGTTATAGTTTTACGACTAACACACGGCTAAATGAGAACTACCTCCCTGGGTAGCAAAGTCAGGGGAAAAGTAAGGGTTATATAGTTAGAATGGACATAACTTGGTTGGTCAGGTTAACATTTGTGTTACAAAGGCCAGATAACAAAGTAATGGATTTATAATTGCATCTGTCCTTAGAAAATGTATCACAAGTGATATTTTTATGTAAGCCAGGTACATGTAGTCTGATACAATGCAAATTGTTTGTTTTTTCATATTTATAATATTTCTCCTATCTGATATGCAAGTCTGTTCTGAATTTAAAGAATATTCATGATCATGATTTGATTTCAGCAAACAAGACATGTGCTCCTGGCCTTTTCACCTGCTCGAACTTCATGTGTGTACACATTGAGAAGTTTTGTGATGGTAAGGTAGACTGCAGCGATGGTTCTGATGAGGCCAACTGTACGTGTCAGGGCGATCAGTTTCAGTGTCAGAGTGGCCTCTGTATCCAACGCCAGTATCGCTGTGATCGTGACATGGACTGTCCGGATTGGGACGACGAAGTTGGTTGTAGTAAGTACGAGCTGCTTACCCTGTTCTCAACGGAACAATGAACTGTTAATTTTCAGTTACCTCTCCTGCTCATAGCTGAATGTTGAACTTGCTAGTTTAGAATTACATCCCCGTCGGCTGTGGGGTGAGAAACTGGCATATTAAGGTTAGAGTTACCTCCCCTATTCACAGTTTGGTCGACAAGCTTGGATTCAGCAAGTGATACTTCACTTGTATACAGTGGGACAATGAGGTTGGGAGAAGTAATATATGTTATAAGTGAAACATCTCTAATTAAAATATGCAATCTCCCTACTTCACAACACAAATCTCCATACTTTGTGTTCCAAAGGCATCACATGCATGTCTCTCACTCAGACCTATCTTTCTTCTTATTGTTTGGTCCTGTCTGTCTTGACATGATTGACTCTCGACATTTTACTGTTTGACCTTACCTGACCTTTTACTGTTTGACCTAACCTGACTTTTTACTGTGTGACCTTACCCGACCTTTTGTGTGCCTCAGCAGTAACTAGGTAAATGTGATGGTTTATTGTGTACTTTGTTCTGCAGACATGACGTGTAAAAACCTGGAGATGTTCGAATACGAGGGCGGCGTCGTCTCCTGTAACACGACGTCCCAGTGTATCCTGTTGTCATGGATCTGTGATGGAAACAGAGACTGTTGGGATGGCAACGATGAAAACTATTGTGACAACTCAACAAAAGGTAGTATCACAAGTTTTTAATGCATGCTTACAGTTCATATTTATAAACAAACACACACATTACCGTTCGATGTCCTGGCACGTCCTTAAATGACCATAGCTGTCAATAGGACATAAAACACAAACAAACCAAATGAACATTACATAGTGTATACCTATAGCTAGCTTACAAGCTAACAAGTGTCACCTATACTTACAGATGGTGCCTGTGATGACGACGGATTTAAGTGTAAGTCGTCTGGAGCCTGTATTCCGCACCAATGGGAGTGTGATAACGACAATGATTGTGGTGACAACTCTGACGAGAAACAATGTAGTGAGTTACCAATGTTCTCTGAAAACTGTTTCTTTACTCTATAAGCGTTAACCAGAACCTTCATTCAAATACATGTACACATAAATTTTTTCAGCTTATTTATCAAATAAAGCAATATATAAGTCAACATGCAACAGATATTTCTTTGTTCGTATCTGTGATGTTTCATTTCCCCGTTATGTGATCAATAAACTGTATAAGTCAGCCATAGGGTGGTCGGATGGTGCAGTGGATAGCGCACTTGCCTTTCACCAAGGCGGCCGGGGTTCGATTCCCCGATCGGACTTGAAAAGGTATGGGGTCACCTGCCCGACCACGTGGGTTTTCTCCGGGTACTCCGGTTTCCTCCTTCATAAAGACCCCCAGCGCACTAACTGCCAACAAGAGTGATTAATATAAGTTGAATAACTTGTTTCATAATTGTTGTAAAATAAATAAAGTTTATATTATATATGTGATCAATATATTACAATTAGACACGCTGTTATATAGATGACGTATGATATGGTAATATATAATGTCGTTCCTCCTGTGTTTCTTCCCACAGACTACACCTGTGAGAGTCACATGTTCCAGTGTAACGAATCTAAGATGTGTCTGCCGCGGTCGTGGGAGTGCGACGGACACCCTGACTGTGCTAACCATAGTGACGAGGGCAGTCACTGCAGTAAGACTTTCATTGTTTTATGTAGAACTTTATAAACTTGATATTTTACAAAAAAATTACCTCCCCACCATAAAGTTGGCTTGATAGTTTCAAACAAAGTCAAATGGGTTCTGTCCCCATGCAGACCGGGACATACCAAAGTCCTTAAAAATGGTAGTTGTTATTCCCTAAGTAACGTTCAGCCTTGAGGGTAATGGCAACACCTGGTTCACCCCCCGTTGTCAGTATAATGTGACCGTGCGGAATGCTGTGCTGGATGCCTGTGGCATTGTATTTCAGTGAGATAGCACATGGAGGCACGTCCTTAAATGTCAACCTTAGATGTTAATAGAACAATACCAAATTAAAACCAAACCAATCAAAGTCAGTTCTGTTAAGAAAAAAGGTCTTTATAGCTTGTCTCTAACGAAATAAGTATGAGTGGAAATGTATTGAGAGCTTCTTATGTAAGGTATTACTTTTTAACATTCAATTTACTCCAACAGTGTGAAGAAAGTTGTATGATTAGTTTGACGGGGGTGTCCGTTAGCACATCTATTAACGATAAGAGTGATGGACGGGCTACATTAGTAAGCTCCCATGTGATGCATCCTCTTGATCCTTTTATGTATGACGTTTTTTATAACATAATTGAGGGAAGGTTGTTTCATTATTAATAGAGTTTGGTTTGGTACCATTTTGTAATAAATCAGAATAAAAACATGAAATCAAAGTAATAATAGGATATCATAACTCAAATGTTCAACAGTAGATAAATTCCTATTAATTTGATAAATTCTTCATATGAGCAGTTCCATAATACATATTTATCATATTTCTAGTGTAAATGTTTGCTATGTGGCAGATTTTGCCCTTGACAATAGTTCTGAAATCTATAAACTCTATGCATCTCTAATCTATATAAATATTATCAGTGAATTTGAAAATGTTTATGTGTTGAAATGTTTGGGTTGTGACTGTAAAAATTGATCACGGTCGGAAACGCTCACGTTTGCGATGGTTCTGAAATCTATATATAACTGTATATAACGAAGGGTTGCAGGTTCGAGCCACGGCGCGGCACTGTGTTGCATCTTTGAGCTTTGTATACTTTACTCCGCTTGTTCCAGTCTACTCAGCTGTAAATGAGTACGTGGTTGGGCAGTGATCATTGAATTGTAGAATGCTAGCTGTGAGCGCCGACATGGCAGCACCAGCTGTATGCTCCCCAGGGAGATGAGCAAGATATTGGCAGGTTGCAAAGGCCCTATAACCACGGATAATAATCTGTGAACCACTTTGAGACGACCTATACAAACTAGGTTGTGATAAAGCGGTATATAAGATCCTGAAATTATTATTATTATTATTATTATTATATAGTCAGTAGCTATATTCACACTACATGTATTTCATTCCATAAGCATTTCGACAGCACAAAAAGTTCCAATTTTACGGTATTGTTTAGACCAATCCAGTAAATGTTAGGTAACTATGTATATAATTCTGAATGTAACCGGATTGTCTATTTTCTAGAGACCACCAACAGGACATGCCAAGAATCTGAGTACCTGTGTGAAGGGACGGGGCGCTGCATCCCCAAACAGTGGAAGTGTGACGGGGACATCGACTGTCCCAACGGGGAGGATGAACGTATCGAGAATGGATGTCGTAAGTATAGGAAGTCACATCTACTGTACATTTTAAACATATTGAATTTAATTTTCTTCATATCCTTATTTATTTAAAAAAACATTTTTTTTATATTTTGTATCTAACCTTTTGTTGTAAAATAAATGATTTCTAAAAAAAAAAATAGTTAAAAACCTGTATTGGCTGTTTTCATATTGATGTTTGTACACAGGATTGCATGTTTCGACACATATATATATTTCTGAACTAGGGACAACATACTTCACATCATGGAAATGCTATTACTTATATGTAAAGCGGATGCCATTCTGTCATGAGTTCTATTGTAAAAATAAAATAAGATTTTCAAACAATAAAGTTTATTTATGTATATTTTGTGTATTATAGCTCCTGCTCACTGTAAACGGGACGAGTTCATGTGTAAGAATCGGCGTTGTATACGAAATATCTTTGTGTGTGATCGGGATGATGACTGCGGAGACAACAGCGATGAACCAGTGTCCTGTGGTAAGTCTGTTGCCTATGTGCCATTTTCTGAACCTCCACAGGGTAGAGTTCTCTCTGACCATATTTCCAGGGAGGGCTGTTTTAGTCACAATTTTACATGGAGGAAATGGTGCAATGCACGTGTCACTGCATAATGACATTCAACAGTTTCATGCAGGCTCACAGTTCAAATATTTTGGGAATAAACTATCCTAGGTTTCTTTTCTTAATTTGAATCAGGTGTTAATTAGATGTAAACTAGTGGAGGGACACAATAAATAAAAACCCTTGATTTGTCACTGTTGAAAGTCAGTAATTAGGTCTTTTGTTTGAAGCCTGATATAGAGAATATAAGTAAGTGGTTGGTTAGGTGGGGCAGTGGATAGTGCACCAACCTTTCACCAAGACAGCTGGGGTTCAACTTATCCATTATATATGAAAAGTTATTGGGTTATCTACTCAACCGCGTTAGTTTTCTCTGGGTACTTAAGTTTCTTCCCATTTTAAGACCCACTGAGCTCTTCCATTTGGGCTAACATGCATGATTGATGCAAGTTGAAAAAACTCACTTGTTTCATAATTGTTGTAAAATGAAAGAAAATTATAAAGATTAGTGTAGGTCAATGCGGAAGTAGAAATTTGTTTTCAGTGAGGAAACACGATGATTGAGGTATTGGAAAATGTGTATTGAAAGAATTGATACTCCATAGTGGGCTACTCCATACTGGGCTGTATATCAGGCAGGGTCCATGCTATCAAAAAGGCAATTTCCTGTTGAAAATCATGAACCTGGCACAAATGCAGAAGATTCAGAATCCTTGATTGACAAAATCCTGTTTTTCTAAGAAATATAGCTATATCTCTGTGATAAAACAAATAAATCTCAAATTTACACAAGGGAGATAATCTTGTCAGTTTTTACGTTTGATGAGGGGAGATAATCTTACTTGTTTTTACTCTGATCAGGGGAAGTAATCTTTGTTATTTTTACCTTTTGCAGTATTCCATGCCTGCAAACAAGACCAGTTTCCATGTAAACAGAATGGGACATGTATTTCTAAAAATCTCACTTGTAATGGTTTCCCGGACTGTCCCGACCATTCAGATGAGGCCAACTGCACCGTGGCGCCACCTTGTGGATCTGAAATGTCATTCAAGTGTGACAACTCCAATTGTATACACATAAATGATGTGTGTGACGGCAAGGACGACTGTGGCGATTTGTCGGACGAAGCTGAAAATTGCCGTAAGTTAAGATATTGTATTGACAGATCACAAGTTGTTCCATTTAACAGTAGACTCTTCTCAAAGACTCTCTCTTTATATTATCGTTAAAGCATTCTGTATAAAATATTTAATTATGTCAAACATTTCCAGAATATTTACTATGTATGAAATATATAGAAAGGTAAACAAAACTAAGCTGATATAGATAATAAGTTGGGTATCATATCAACCTCTTACTTCCAGCTTAGTGCACATTGTTTGCAGCTGTTATTTTATCTGAAGAATATAAAAAGGATAATACAGATGTACATGTATATAAAATTTTATACCAGAATGTGAAAACCTGTTTTGATTCATTTGTGACAGATATCAACGAGTGTTCTCCCCATCAGTTCATGTGTAGTCAGAATTGCACTGATCTCAAAATTGGTTACCAGTGTTCATGCTACGCTGGCTACAAACTCAGAAGCGACGGCAAGACATGTCAGGGTAAGGCAAAATGCTTGACATTGGTTTGTAGTTTTGATAATTCCAATTTTAAGACAAATTCTAAAGGCGTTTCTTCCAATTTTTGGAGTAGTTTAAGAATATGTGATTTTTTTTTTTTTTTTTAGAGATTGTCCCCTCAAAGTCGTTAAATGGTGGTGTGGATCATGATCACGTTCGGACAATTTAGACTTATGTATCATTATCTATGCTAGCCAGGTCATTAGGCTTATAAAAGCTTTCCCTGACTATTTTTCTCCCATCCTACTATTTCAATCACAACTCCACCGACAGATAGTCTAGCATATTTGAATAGCGCCATGCTTCCTTTTTTTATAATGTCAGAATTTAGCATTTGCTATTCTGCATGAGGATATCTCCTCCTACAGGGGATGAAAAGCTGATTTTCCAGCCAAGAATAAGTGTCACACCTGTGAAGGGTAGGAGAAAGAAATGTCCATACTGTACTTGTATAAATTGTGCTGTTTACTGTGGAACGAGGTTGGGACGAATGGCTATTGTGTTAATTGTGCTGTTTACTGTGGAACGAGGTTGGGACGAATGGCTATTGTGTTAATTGTGCTGTTTACTGTGGAACGAGCTTGGGACGAATGGCTAGATTTTGTTTTGTATATATTTTGACTGTTGCCATGGTTACAGATATAAATGAGTGCCAGTCACTGTACCCATGCTCCCACTTCTGTACCAACATGCCGGGTAGCTACTTCTGCAGGTGTGCAGATGGATACCTCTTGGCTGAGGACCGTCATTCCTGTAAAGTGCATGGAGGTAAGTCAAGGTCACGCATGTATCTCGTCAGGTCATGTTTGTATAGTCTGTAAATGTAGTTCAAGGTCAGTATCACATGTCTGTGTAGTGAAAAAATGTCAAGGTCATTGTATTATGTTTGTGTAGTGAATAAAAGTCAAGGTTACTGTTTTGTTTGTGTAGTGAAGAAAGGTCAAGGTAATTGCTTCATGTTTGTGTAGTGAAAAATGTCAAGTTCATTGTCTTATTTTGTAGTGAAGAAAGGTCAAGGTCATTGCTTCATGTTTGTGTAGTGAAAAAAGGTCAAGGTCATTGCCTTATTTTTGTTGTGACAAAAGGTCAAGGTCATTCTTACGTGTTTGTGTAGGGAATAAAGGTCATGGTCATATATATATATATATACAGATGTAGTTACATAATTGTGTATAAGAAAGTTCAAGGTCATTGTTACAAATTTGTTGAATTAAATGATGTGTAGATTGTGTGCTACCAAACATATATTTCAAAATATTAAGCAACATGCATATGACAGTATTTTAGTGTGGGAATCACAAACAGATCTAGTTTACATAATGTATGAAATTTAAATCGATAAAGTTTTGTTTTCAATTCGTATATATATATAGTAGTAGTGATGGGCTGATCATAATTGAAAATCAATCAATTTGCCCTTTCAAATTTTGATTATTGATTCAATTTATTTTAAAGGCAATATGTATATATATACTTGTATTATTGTGGATAACTGAATCATTTGAACATATTTCCTATCGGTGTGAATTTCAGCGGAGCAGCCATTCTTGATCGTAGCAAATCGGTATTACTTGAGACGGGTGAGTTTATCTGGCATTGAGGAGAAAATCACAGAGAACCTGAACAATGCGGTGGCCATCGGCTTCAGTTACCAGGATGAAATGGTGTACTGGACGGACATCACTAGCAAGTCCAGCTCCATCAACAGAATGAAGATAATTAACGGAACCAAGGAGGTGAGCAGGGGAGGGTACTCTATAATCCTCTTGGCAAGTGGGAATGGTGTGGTACATGTATTTGAATTCCTCTGCAATGAAAGGTCACACTATATACTAGTTAGTTTAACCCTTCAAATTCATTCCTGTGCAGACTACAGTTTTTCTCTCTGTTTGCATTGTTAAGCACTGCCCAACCATGTACTCATTTACAGCTGAGCAGACTGGAAAATGTAAAGTTCAAACATACAACAGAGTGCCGTGTCGTGACTCAAACCCGCAACCCTTCGGTCACAAGCCCGGCGTCCTACCGTTAGATTACTGTGCCTCCAAATCTATTGAAATTCAGTAGAAATACAAGCAAATGCTATTTCTTTCATTTTTCCATTATAATTCCACCCCCTACTTAAGTGGGAGGTTTTGTGTTTGTCCCCCCTTGGATTATAGCAAGAGATATACAGTATTCAAATTCATCAAACTTTCTGAACAATTGAAAACAGGCATAGCAAATTAAAGAAGCTTAGATGAAAATAGAGATATAATGTATGTTTCTTTGACCTATTGTAGGTGATTCACAGTTCCACGGTGAGAAATCCGGATGGTCTGGCTGTCGATTGGGTCGGCAAAAACCTCTACTGGTGTGACAAGACCACAGATACCATTGAGGTTTCAAAATTGGATGGAAAATATCGTAAAGTGTTGATCCGGGAGGGTCTTGAAGAGCCACGTGCCTTGGAGGTGTTCCCCGCTAAGGGTTTCATGTTTTACACGGACTGGGGCGAGAAGCCACACATCTCCAGGTCCTATCTTGACGGATCAGACACACAGAAAATTATTACACAGGATCTGGCTTGGCCTAATGCTTTAACAATCGACTATGTGACTGAAAAGATTTTCTGGGCTGACGCCAGTTTAGACTATATCGCCATGGCTAATTTGGATGGTACAGCAAGACACATGATTATAGATCGGGAGCTTCCTCACACTTTTGCCCTAACGACTTTCATGAATTATATTTACTGGACAGACTGGGAGAAAGGCTCAATCGAGAGGGCGGAGAAATTCACTGGGAAAAATCGTTCAACGGTTGCAGTAGTGATTCATCGCCTCATGGACATTCAGGTGTACCACAAGATGAGGCAGGTAGAAAGTAAGTTTCCACCGGTCATTTGAGTTACCTAAGCTATGCTTGTTAACACCGGCACATTTTAATTAGTTACACCCATCCTACTGTCCGTAATAATTTTAGCTCGTCTGGTCAAAAGGACCAAGGTGAGCTAACGCCATACTACAGGTCATAACTTTGAAATGGTTGAGATCCCCTCACCATAACCATATATATCATGCATGGCATTAAGATACAGACACAATCATGATATTACTATTGACCTGGGGTCTTGCCCCCACCCCGAGGGACTTCATTCTTCGGTCATAACTTTGAAATGGTTGAGATCCCCTCACCATAACCATATATATTATGCATGGCATTAAGATACAAACACAATCATGATATTACTATTGACCTGGGGTCTTGCCCCACCCCTAGGGACTTCATTCGTTGGTCATTACTTTGAAATGGTTGAGATCCCCAACCCATACCAATTATATACCATTGCTGGGTATAAAGATCCAGGTGAGCGATACAGGTCATCTAGGCCTCTTGTTAGCTTTTTTGTCGCATCACCATGAACAAATGGTAATTGTAATTCTGGTGACTGTCGAGGCCCATTGGCCTCTCACGAAAAACAAAATGGAAGTTCAGGGTCCTTGTTCACATGGTGTTTGAGTATCAATCAAACATATGCTTGGCATCTATTCATTGTGAAACTTTTATCAGACAAATATATCAAAATTATAGGGTTCTTTTCATTGTGAAAGTTTTATCAGACAAACATATCGTAATTATAGGGTTCTATTCATTGTGAAACTTTTATCAGACAAATATATCAAAATTATAGGGTTCTTTTCATTGTGAAAGTTTTATCAGACAAACATATCGTAATTATAGGGTTCTATTCATTGTGAAACTTTTATCAGACAAATATATCAAAATTATAGGGTTCTTTTCATTGTGAAAGTTTTATCAGACAAACATATCGTAATTATAGGGTTCTATTCATTGTGAAACTTTTATCAGACAAATATATCAAAATTATAGGGTTCTTTTCATTGTGAAAGTTTTATCAGACAAACATATCGTAATTATAGGGTTCTATTCATTGTGAAATTTTTATCAGACAAATTTATCAAAATTATATATAGATCATATGTAGATGTAGACTTGGCATTTTACTGGTTGGGACAATTCAGTTTATTTTCAATGAAAAGTGTGTTTTTTTCTCCTATCATTCTGTTTTCTGTTGCCTTATTTTTCATTATTGTATATAAATTTTGCTTGTAAGTGTTTTAAAACGATTTCAAGCAACATATTTCAGAATACATCATTCATACACATGTATTAGTCATTGATAAACTGAATGATAAATATTTATCAAAATAGGTTACACTAGAATAATGGCAATAAATGCATATACAATGTAGTATATTAATTATGTGGGCAGTATACCATTATAGTGCATATTACCAGTAGAACTACCTGACAAAAAATACTCTTTTTCTCATCGCAAAATGAGTACTATCAATGGGTATTTACAACAGGTGCTTCCTTTTTACTTTCAGTGCATCCCAACCCGTGTGAAAACAATGGGGGCTGCAGCCATCTTTGTTTACTTCGGCCTGTGCCAAAACCCATGGCCTACCTGTGGCTGAATTCAGTGGAACGTGTTTGTGCCTGTCCAGAAAACCATGACCTATTACCTGATGGAGTTAACTGCGTATCAAACTGCACCAGGTAAATTGGTTGAATTGATCGTGAGGATTTTACGTGTCATGCATACAACACTTTGAAAAAATTCACGTACAAAGATCATATAATGATATGCTGCGATTCCTAACCATTATGTACACATTATGAGAAACATACATACATTTATAGCCTGGAAAGATTCACTTTTGTGACAAATTGTATAAAATGCAGTTTACGAATATGGCCCTGAGAGTTTTTACTTTGTAACAAACTATACGTCATAACATAAAAATATTGTCCAAAGTGTGAATAAGCTTTGCTATAGAATATGGCTGGTAAATACAATATACAAATATGACCCTGAGAGTTTTATCTTTGTGACAAACTGTATTTTATAAATACTATATACAAATATGACCCTGAGAGCTTTCCTTTGTGACAAACTGTTTTTATAAATACTATATACAAATATGACCCTGAGAGTTTTACCTTTGTGACAAACTGTAATATATAAATACTATATACAAATATGACCCTGAGAATGTAACCTTTGTGACAAACTGTATTTTATAAAAACTATATACAAATATGACCCTGAGAGTTTTACCTTTGTGACAAACTGTAATATATAAATACTATATACAAATATGACCCTGAGAATGTAACCTTTGTGACAAACTGTATTTTATAAAAACTATATACAAATATGACCCTGAGAGCTTTCCTTTGTGACAAACTGTATTTTATAAATATTATATACAAATATGACCCTGAGAGTTTTCCTTTGTGACAAACTGTAATATATAAATACTATATACAAATATGACCCTGAGAGGTTTACCTTTGTGACAAACTGAATTTTATAAAAAATATATACAAATATGACCCTGAGAGCTTTCCTTTGTGACAAACTGAATTTTATAAATACTATATACAAATATGACCCTGAGAGTTTTCCTTTGTGACAAACTGTGATATATAAATACTATATACAAATATGACCCTGAGAGTTTACCTTTGTGACAAACTGTAATATATAAATACTATATACAAATATGACCCTGAGAGTTTTACCTTTGTGACAAACTGAATTTTATAAAAACTATATACAAATATGACCCTGAGAGCTTCCTTTGTGACAAACTGTATTTTATAAATACTATATACAAATATGACCCTGAGAGTTTTACCTTTGTGACAAACTGTAATATATAAATACTATATACAAATATGACCCTGAGAATGTAACCTTTGTGACAAACTTTATTTTATAAAAACTATATACAAATACGACCCTGAGAGCTTTCCCTTTGTGAAAAACTGTAAAAGGAAGATACAATGCTGGCTTTACCCATGGTTGTTGACTGATATGTTCCTGATTTCAGTGCCCAGTTCCTGTGTACGGCCAGCTCCAAGTGTATCCCATTCTGGTGGAAATGTGACGGTCAACAGGATTGTGAAGACGGGTCAGATGAACCAAGCACTTGCAGTACGTTATCCACTGTTAGATACAGTAATACCTAGATATAATGCTAAAATACAGGGGGGTGGAGATCCTACGTCCAGTACAGTATAGTTTTCATTAAGAGCAGCCAAGTTCAGCATCTCCCGGTCATGGATTCTTTAAATAGAATTCCCTAGACCGGCCATGGTCATCTCTTCTCACTATAATGCTAAAATGTAAAAATGGCCTCTCACTTACCACAAACATTGTTCAAGGTCCCTTTTTCTTAGCAAGATTTCCGTCGATTGATTGCCAAACCTCTAATAATGCCATTTACCTTATTTTGAGCTCTTTCCTACTATGAAGCTTCGTTAAAATGAAATCTCGGTGGATTAATGTAGAAGTGATATGTTAGAGTGAATTAACAGATACCGATCGTGACTAAAAGGATGGAGGAAGTTTGGAAATGTTGCTGTAAATGTCATATAGATCCAACATAACGGAGCAAATACACTTGTATTTTACCCGTTGTTGAAACAGTCATCAGTACAACCTTAAAACCCTGAACAATTTTAGCCTAGATTTTTGCTTATCCCCTCTTGTGTTAACAGCGCCCTACAGGTGTAGTCGCCCAGGGTTGTTCCGATGTAAAAACTCGCCAACCGAGTGTATCCCACCGGTAGACATCTGTGACGGCAAACCGCAATGTTCTGATGCGTCTGACGAACAAGAGTGTGGTGAGTATTGATATAATCATTTATCATGTGACTCTAAAATTAAACGTGAATTGGCGTAATCATTTAATGTAACATGAAAGTATCTCTTATTGTGATCTATGTATAACAGAATCCCTTAGAAAAATTCTTGTGTGTGGAAATGTTTGCATTAATTAATTGTGACTCTTTAAATTCTCAAAATGCACACTTGCTAATAAGTTGCTATTCTTGAGGGAGATGATTTTTTTCAGTTATTTCAGACCTTTTGAAATCATCAATGTTCATGCAGAAATCGTGCTATTTGCTTAATTTCACAAAGATGAATATTTTTAGCAATTTGGCTGATAACAGGTTTTTATTGTTTTTGTTTTAGAATAAATGCATAGAAAGTTTAAGCTTGATTAATAGGTTGTATTCAATATGTTTTGTTTACAATACTAATACCAGATATGTCAAATAGGGCTTATTATTATAAGTGCTTTATATATATTTAGCCAGTTCCATTTTAATCATCACATCCTGGTTTCCCTGCACACATTTTTTTAAAGTTGGCTTGTATTAAAAGAATAATTACACTCATCTCTATAGTTTTAGTCTGCTGGATAACCGTACTATACTTGGCAGTGAAGCGGACGTACAAGCACTCACTCACTCACTCACTCACTCACTCACTCACTCACATGCACACTCACTCACACACTCAATCAATCAATCAATCAACTCTAGCTAAACAATGATTAATTAATACCTAATAATCTTAAAACCCCAAAAATTCATCAAGGTTGAATTTTGTTTTTTCATGTTAACACAAATGTGTTAGTGATACATGCAGTATATTTCCTCATCCTCACTGATGTCGATATTCTTGTGTATATACAGACAAGTTCCACTGCCTGGCCGGGTTTAGGAAGTGTCCTGATGACGATGTTTGTGTCGAGGAATCAAAGTTCTGTAACGGGATACTTGACTGTCCCTCCAAGATTGATGAACAGAATTGTAGTAAGTGATCAAATTAAATGTCAATAAGAATCAATCGTTTTTAATTAACACCAGGTTGTATAGATTGATACTCCTTTCCTCCACTAACACAGATACACAGATGTGTTCTAACAAAATACAAAATTATAACGTGTAATTTAAAGATACATGATTTTAAATTGTAATTGTATAGCATGGCTCATAGCCAAATTTTTGCTTGAAATATTTTCGTGGTTGATTTTGCCAATGTTCATCTATTTCGTACTCAAATTATTAATTAATAGTAATCCATTCCTCTAAAACTGTTATAATTTAACTTGTTAATTATTGAATTGACATATTTTTGAATTGTTACATATCACCCTGTAAATCAGAGTATTTTCAGATATTAAGTTCTTACCCTGCAATATCATTTTTTAAATTCATTATTCAACATATGCAGTATGTACAGATGTTTTTTTGGTGAAATATAATTGGAGTTATTTCCCCCTTTCATATTTATTTGTTTGAATGTTATTTGTGCGTTTTCGGAGGCACTGTAGTCAAGTGGTATGACGGCCGGACAAGTGACCGAAAGGTTGGGGGTTCGAGTCACGGCACTGCATTGTATCTTTGAACAAGATACTTTACTCCCCTTGTTCCAGTCTACTCAGCTGTAAATGAGTATGTGGTTGGGCAGTGCTAGAATTGTTGAATGCTAGCTGTGAGCACCTAAATGGCAGCACTGGCTGTATCAGCTCCCCAGAGAGAAATATTGGCTGGATGCAAAGGCCCTATAACCACAGATAATGATTTGTGAACCGCTTTGAGACGGCCTACAAGCTGGGCTGTGATAAAGCGGTACATAAGAACCTCTGTTTGAATTAATTTGAGTTATCTTCCTTTCAGCTTACAGTCAGTGCGAGGCTAACCAGTTCCAGTGTTCCAACAAACGCTGCGTTCCGTACGTCTGGAGGTGTGATTCAGACAACGACTGCGGTGACGGGTCCGACGAACCTGCAGACTGTCGCAACATGACATGCATGGAGGGATACGTCAAATGTGACACCGGGCGTTGTATCCCGTCCGACTGGCAGTGTGATGGGGACGTGGACTGCGGGCCGGAGGATCACTCCGACGAGGACAACACTAGGTGTAGTAAGTATCCCGATCCCACGACTACATCAGTAGATAAACGTAGCACACACCACTCAATGACAGTGGGAGGTCGGTTTGTGCAGTGGATAACACCCGCGCCTTTCACCAGGGTGGCCTGGGTTCAATTCTCCAATTGGATGTGAAAAGGTCTTTGGTGACCTGCCCAACCATGCGGGTTATCTCCGGGTTTCCTTCCACATTAAGCCCCCCCTACACGCTAACCTCTGGGCCAACAAGAAATACTATTATAAGTTGAAATAATTTGTTTCATAATTGTTATAAAATAAACCAAATTTATTTTTTAATGATTAAAGCAATTTCGAAAAAAGTGAAGATCTTATTAGGTAGAATACATTGTTAAATAAATTCTAGATTGAAAGTTGTGAGGGGGATGGAACTCGGATCCAAACTACCGGAATAGGTGAGATATATCGTAAAATTATGTTACCTCTGCAAAATTTTGACTGAATTTTGTATAAATTTGTCGTTAAATATTTTCAGGGGAAACAACGTGTGACCCAACCTACTTCCAGTGCGATAACAAGCATTGTATCCCGTCACGCTGGAAATGTGACTTTGACAATGACTGTCGTGATGGGTCGGATGAGAAGAATTGTTGTAAGTAATTTATAGTTAGATGTATGAGAGGAAAATATAAAAATGTTGGCCGAAATTTAATATTCGTTATAGTACACAACACCAAAATAACAAAATTTAGGACTTTGCTTTTTAAACAGAACAAATTGAAGCTTGTTCAAATTTTGTAGAAAATGAGTAAAATACACACCAACAATATGCAAATTACTTAATGTTGTTCCTTTGTCTCTGTTGACCCAGCTCACCGCCAGTGTTCACAGCAGGAGTTCAAGTGTAATAACAACAAGTGCATACCACAGAGCTGGAAATGTAACGGAGAGATGAATTGTGAGGACGGAAGTGACGAAGAAGGATGTTCAGGTGGGTTATATACAGTAAGGAAGAGATGAAATGTGAGGACGGAAGTGACGAAGAGGGATGTTTAGGTAGGGTTTCCAGTTAAAAGAGACGAATTGTGAGGACGGAAGTGTCGAAGGATGTTCAGGTAGGTCATATACAGTAACGAAGAGATGAATTGGGAGGACGGAAGTGACGAAGAAGGATGTTTAGGTAGGTCATACACAGTAATGAAGAGATGAATTGTGAGGACGGAAGTGACGAAGAAGGATGTTAAGTTAGGTTATACAGTAAGGAAGAGATGAAATGTGAGGACGGAAGTGACGCAGAAGGATGTTAAGGTAGGTTATACAGTAAGGCAGAGATGAAATGTGAGGACGGAAGTGACGAAGAAGGATGTTCAGGGGGGTTATATACAGTAAGGAAGAGATGAAATGTGAGGACGGAAGTGACGCAGAAGGATGTTAAGGTAGGTTATACAGTAAGGAAGAGATGAAATGTGAGGACGGAAGTGACGAAGAGGGATGTTTAGGTAGGTTTTCCAGTTAAAAGAGACGAATTGTGAGGACGGAAGTGACGAAGGATGTTCAGGTAGGTCATATACAGTAACGAAGAGATGAATTGTGAGGACGGAAGTGACGAAGAGGGATGTTTAGGTGGGTTATACAGTAAGGAGGAGATGAATGGTGAAGACAGAAGGACGAATAAGGATGTTCAGGTAGGTTATACAGTAAGGAAGAGATGAATTGTGAGGACGGAAGGGACGAAGAAGGATGTTTAGGTAGGTCATATACAGTAATGAAGAGATGAATTGTGAGGGCGGAAGTGACGAAGAGGGATGTTCAGGTGGTTTATATACAGTAAGGAATAGATGAATTGTGAGGACGGAAGTGACAAAGAGGGATGTTTAGGTGGGTTATATACAGTAAGGAAGAGATGAAATGTGAGGACGGAAGTGACGAAGGATGTTCAGGTAGGTCATATACAGTAACGGAGAGATGAATTGTGAGGACGGAAGTGACGAAGAGGGATGTTCAGGTGGGTTATATACAGTAAGGAAGAGATGAATTGTGAGGACGGAAGTGACGAAGAAGGATGTTTAGGTAGGTCATACATAGTAATGAAAAGATGAATTGTGATGACAGAAGTGACGAAGAAGGATGTTCAGGTAGGTTATACAGTAACGGAGCGATGAATTGTGAGGACGGAAGTGACGAAGAGGGATGATTAGGTGGGTTATACAGTAAGGAGGAGATGAATGGTGAAGACAGAAGGACAAATAAGGATGTTCAGGTAGGTTATACACAGTAATGAAGAGATGAATTGTGAGGACGGAAGAGACGAAGAAGGATGTTTAGGTAGGTTATACAGTAAGGAAGAGATGAAATGAGAGGACGGAAGAGAAGAAGGATGTTCAGGTAGGTCCTATACAGTAACGAAGAGATGAATTGTGAGGACGGAAGAGACGAAGAAGGATGTTTAGGTAGGTTATAGAGTAAGGAAGAGATGAATTGTGAGGACGGGAGTGATGAAGAAGGATGTTTAGGTAGGTTATACAGTAAGGAAGAGATGAATTGTACGGACGGAAGTGACGATGAAGGATGTTCTGGTAGGTTATACAGTAAGTAGGAGATGAATGGTGAAGACAGAAGGACGAATAAGGATGTTCAGGTAGGTTATACACAGTAATGAAGAGATGCATTGTGAGGACGGAAGTGACGAAGAAGGGTGTTTAGGTTGGTCATATACAGTAAGGAAGAGATGAATTGTGAGGACGGGAGTGATGAAGAAGGATGTTTAGGTAGGTTATACAGTAATGAAGAGATGAATTGTGAGGACGGAAGTGACGAAAAAGGATGTTTAGGTAGGTCATACACAGTAATGGAGAGATGAATTGTGAGGACGGAAGTGATGAAGAAGGATGTTTAGGTAGGTTATACAGTAACGGAGAGATGAAATGTGAGGACGGAAGTGACGAAGAGGGATGTTTAGGTGGGTTATATACAGTAAGGAAGAGATGAATTGTGAGGACGGAAGTGATGAAGAAGGATGTTTAGGTAGGTTATACAGTAAGGAAGAGATGAATTGTACGGACGGAAGTGACGATGAAGGATGTTCTGGTAGGTTATACAGCAAGGAGGAGATGAATGGTGAAGACAGAAGGACGAATAAGGATGTTCAGGGAGGTTATACACAGTAATGAAGAGATGAATTGTGAGGACGGAAGAGACGAAGAAGGATGTTTAGGTAGGTTATAAACAGTAATGAAGAGATGAATTGTGAGGACGGAAGTGATGAAGAAGGATGTTTAGGTAGGTTATACAGTAACGGAGAGATGAATTGTGAGGAAGGAAGTGACGAAGAAGGATGTTCAGGTAGGTTAAACAGTAACGGAGAGATGAATTGTGAGGACGGAAGAGACGAAGAAGGATGTTTAGGTAGGTTATACAGTAAGGAAGAGATGAATTATGAGGACGGAAGTGACGAGGAAGGATGTTTAGGTAGGTCATACACAGTAATGAAGAAATGAATTGTGAGGACGGAAGTGACGAAGAATGATGTTTAGGTAGGTTATACAGTAAGGAAGAGATGAATTGTGAGGACGGGAGTGATGAAGAAGGATGTTTAGGTAGGTTATACAGTAAGGAAGAGATGAATTGTGAGGACGGAAGTGACGATGAAGGATGTTCTGGTAGGTTATACAGTAAGGAGGAGATGAATGGTGAAGACAGAAGGACGAATAAGGATGTTCAGGTAGGTTATACACAGTAATGAAGAGATGAATTGTGAGGACGGAAGTGACGAAGAAGGGTGTTTAGGTTGGTCATATACAGTAAGGAAGAGATGAATTGTGAGGACGGGAGTGATGAAGAAGGATGTTTAGGTAGGTTATACAGTAAGGAAGAGAGGAAATGTGAGGACGGAAGTGACGAAGAAGGGTGTTTAGGTTGGTCATATACAGTAAGGAAGAGATGAATTGTGAGGACGGAAGTGACGAAGAAGGATGTTCAGGTAGGTCATATACAGTAAGGAATAGATGAATTGTGAGGACGGAAGTGACGAAGAAGGATGTTCAGGTAGGTTATACAGTAAGGAAGAGAGGAATTGTGAGGACGGATTGTGAGGACGGAAGTGACGAAGAAGGATGTTCAGGTAGGTCATATACAGTAACGAACCTTTTATTTCCTAGTGCCTTCCCATTGCTTGCCAAACACCTCACCTTTGGTTTTATGTTGAGCGTTTGCCCAGGTGAGGAAGGCAATGGGTTCTGTCCCCAAGTCAGGACATACATATATCAAAGTCCTCAAAAATATTATTCCTTGCTTAACATTCAGCTTTAATGGTGATGGCAACAATTGGTTCACACGGTCAAATGTGACCGGGCAGAAGGCTGTGCTGGGTGCCTTCGGCATGGCATTTCTGTGAAGTAGCACTATAAAGTCGGCATCAGATCCGCGTTATCACAAGGAGGCAAATACACCAACATACCCTGTCTCCAGCACGCATACACACATGCACGCTTACACAAAAAACATGGAGACACGAACACCAACATACCCTGTCTCCAGCACACATACACACATGCACGCTTACACAACAAACATGGAGGCACGTCCTTAAATGACCTCAGCTGTTGATAGGTCGTTAAACAATGTAAAACCTAAACCAAAGCAGGTCTTTATAACAAACTTTTATTATAAACACCATATTCCATTACAGGCCTGGACTGTAATAAGGATGAGTTTAAGTGTGCAGGAATCTGTGTTCCCAATAAGTGGATGTGTGACGAAGATATAGACTGTCCCGACGGTTCAGACGAACGCAACTGTAGCAGTATGTATATACCTCCATTTCTATATTATTAACCACTCCATACCTATGGAACAGCTCCACATCTATCTATTTGCTACATATAAACACACTGTATGAAAAAGAAGCAATATGAAAATGTCAAAATTATTAATAAACTCTGCAATAGTTTAGTTTTCTTCAGTTGAGAAATATGGTTTTAGTGCAAACGTTTACATTATTTTGATTATTTTATGATATTTCGCCTGAATTACGGATAAATGCACTTATGGCAATACACCATATAGTGCCGTTATCAGAGGGCGTATGCTGAATTGGTGTTCCCTTGTTAAATGAAAACCAATTTGGAAGAGAGCCGTCAGAGTGAAATCAGGCTAAGTTAATCAAAGATTTACTAGCTTCTAATTACTGTATCCCTGGAAATTTTTGCCAAAGTTTAACTTTTGCCTCTTGGGCCCTCTGCAGTGACGACAAATTTATCATGACAGTTGAAAAAAAACCTTCATACCATACATAGTAATAATATATTGGGAAGGGCGATAATTTGACTGGCCATATTGATATAATTATCATTCCATATCTATACAGCGAAACCATGTCATACTGCTGCCGTTTGACCTGCGAAATATTGGCATTATAAAGGGAAAAGGCGATAAATTGAGAGAGAAGATCAAAGGAATTGCTAGTAATAAAGGACAGGTAGATCCTGAAATGTATTTGTAGAAAGCGGGGGGGGGGGGCAAAGAAATGAGGGGCATTATATCAAGGTTTTGCTGTTATTGTTATTGATCACTTCATGTATTTTATGGGGGCATGCCCGGTTGCCCTGTAGTGTTATCACAGTGTCCATCTGTCTGTCTGTCTGTCTGTCCATGATTTTGTTTCCGGAGATTGTCTCAGAATCTGAAAGACAAATCTTTCCGAAATTTGACAAAAAGATTCACTATGAAATGACGTGCAATAAAAGTGTTTAAAAATGCAAAGGTCAAGGTCACTGTTACTATAAAGATAGACTGTAGGAGGGTACCGACCTTATCTCAAAATCTAAAAGTGTAATTATGGCAAGGTCACTGTTGCTAAAAATATACTGTGAGGGTATGGTCCTTATCTAGGAAGCAAAAAGGTCTAATCGTTTTGAAAATTTGACATGGTGATACACTTTGATATGCAGATGTGAAATAGGGGTTTAAAAAAGTTTTAAAGGGTTATGGTCAAGGTTACTGTTACTTAAAATAGAATAGGGGGGTGGGGTGGGGGGTATGTATACTGTCATGCATATGGCAGGCCCTTGCTAACCTTATAGTGTTCTAGTTTATATAGAAAAGATATTATCCATGGTCCACTTTTATTAGTATTGAATAATAAAGTCATGAAAAGCACATTAGTCCACCTGACAGATTTTTGTTGGTTTCCTCAGGTTCGTGTCTAGAGGGTAAATTCCTGTGTGAAAACAAAGAATGTATACCCGAACTGTGGCAATGTGACGGTGACAACGATTGCGGAGATAACTCTGACGAAATTACGAACATGTGTAGTAAGTATATAAACACCAAGGCAATTATAGATACACATTTCCTGTCCGTGTATTTCATCTATAAATAAGGAAGCATATATTTGTAGTCATCTCACCTGCCAAAAGTATAAATAAGTTCATGCCATGATGCAGCATCTTTCGTCTACCATTTTTTCCTGCAGTGCCTTTCACCTGTCTGTTTGTCCAGCATCAACAGAAAGCATATTACCAAACATTTTGTTAGGAAGAAATCACATTCAAGTTCAAAGTTATTTTGTTGAAGTCTTCTGTGTTTATTAATGTTGAAAAACTATTCAAATAAATTAAAAAGTATTTTTACCTACCAGCTGCCCTATTGTTGTTAAGGCATGTTTGTAGAAATACAGGTATTATTTATAGGCCCAATGATATGAAGAATGCCTATCTAAATAAATTTGATCTTTGCCTTCTAATCAAAGGTCACAGATGTGAAATGTATAGAAGGTGAGCGATACAGGCCTATTGAGTCTCTTGTTTAGTTCGTCCATCTTTGATACTCTGTTATCATTTTGTTTTTATATGTTATTCAATAATTTTATATCAATTTTGATGAATATTTGCATCTTACTTTAGTGAAATTTTGTGATTCGTCTATGAATTGCAGACTTCGTTGCATGTAGTTATCATATTTACAATAAAATTTAGATAATTAATTTTCATATCCATTGTTTCGCTTGTCAACTGTGATGTTAAAATATTTTTTTTATTGACATTCTTTACCATTATTATTTATTTTTTGTCTTTCAGTGAATCACCAGTGTCCTTTGGGCAGATTCCGTTGTAAAAATCATTTATGTCTGGCCAAGTCCAAACACTGTGACGGGATTGACCAGTGCGGAGATAAAAGCGACGAGGAAAATTGTGAGTTATTTTTTGAGAAGGAATAATTAAACTTTCTGGATCACATCATAGGGATTTTGTGAAATTTGAACATACCTTATTTAAATATGATAATTTATTCAATTATTTTCTGTTCAAATTATTCATGATATATATACTGGTGTATTTTCTAAATGTTACTCTGTGACATTTTGTATTTAACTGTACCTACTACTAAATCACATCACAGATTTTTTCTTTGAAATTAAGTAAGGGGAGATAATTCATGACATTTCTTTTGATACTGGATGATTACCTGTGTGTACATGTGTGTACTCCTGGCCATGGCATCCTCACTGTAATGTTTCCATAGTCATCTTGCACTCTGTGCCAGTCAGCTGTTACCATAAGTAATAAGACAAACAGAGATGTAATAAGTGCCCACGCCCTTATATTAGCAACCCTCCTCTATTTTTGCACTTACTGAAATGATTCAAATGCCCCCTTTTCCCAAACATTGCCATTCATTCTTGCTCTTTCCTGTAGATAAAGCAATATACACTTTAGACAGACAGTAAAGTCTCACAGTCTGACAAGACTATTTTCTATAGTGTTTTAGAAAAGAATTTAAGAGAGCACAATTTTCCATTGGAATTTTCCATTGGAATGTGTCTTATGATTATGTTGCCTCTGAAGAAACATTTGAACTCTTCCAATTCAAAGGTTGGAATAGTTCATTATGAATCTTCAGGGGTTAATGAGTTGACAAAACCCCATTCAGCTCATTATGGCGAATACAATATATGTCACACTTCTTACGATTGGTTACAGGTTACTATGACACTATATGTCATGGGCGGAGTTACAGGTGTGCTAAGAACGACAGGTGTATCCCCATACACCAGGTGTGTGATGGTCAGTACAACTGTCTCGACCATTCTGACGAGAAATCGGACTTCTGTAAACCAGGTATGTCATAACCCTGTACCACTGCCATAGACGGTAACTATCCATTAATTGGATAAAGCTTTTTCGGAATTACTTGTATATTGTGGGACTTCTATGAGAAATTGATAGGGATGAAATCAATCACTGTATGAACAACAGTGATCTGAGTGTAAGATTACAACAGCACCTGGTCAGGATTCCAAGTCTGGACCTCAGATCATGATACTGTTGCTCAAACTGACCGAAATACACAGTCAATATATAGTTGGTATAGCACTTGAGTTATACCCAAATGGAAATTAACCTTTTCACCCCTATGTAACTTTAGTCAACTCTACCATTCATTGATCTGGATGAGTCCATTATGGTCCACAGTGGTGAAAGGGTTAACGGGTGTTTTTTGCCTGCAGTGGGATAGGGATCTTTAACACTAATCATCATCCCCTTAAAAAAGTTGCCAGATAGTAATTGATAACCGAATTAATGGTGGCTGAATAATGGGACAACCAGTTTAATGGAGGCCAGGTATTCATTGATGGCAGTAATATAATTGAGACTTAAGATAAGTGGTGGATAGAAAATGGGGCAACCTGGTGATTGGTGGTCAGTGGAATGGCCCATGATCATAAGTGGAATAACAGATGATAGGAAGTGGAATGACACATGATAGGAAGTGGAATGACACATGCTAGGAAGTGGAATGACACATGATAGGAAGTGGAATGACACATGCTAGGAGTGGAATGGCACATGATAGAAAGTGGAATGACACATGCTAGGAGTGGAATGACACATGATAGGAAGTGGAATGACACATGCTAGAAGTGGAATGACACATGATATGAAGTGGAATGACACATGATAGGAAGTGGAATGACACATGTTTTATGTGGAATGACATATGATAGGAAGTGGAATGACACATGTTTTAAGATGAATGACATATGATAGGAAGTGGAATGACACATGTTTTAAGTTGAATCACATATGACCTTAAGATTTTATTTAACAGCAACTTTTAATGGGGTTTTACAAATTTACAGAGAACATCAAGCCGACATGTGGGAGGAATGCCTGCCAGCAAACCTGCGTCAATATCACAGGTGTGGGGTACAAGTGTTCCTGTAAGAGGGGCTACAAACTCACTGACGACGGATTCTCTTGTAAAGGTAGGTCATACATATCTGACAGTTAATTAGGAGATCAAATTATTCCGTATCAAAATTAATGGTCAATGCCTTAAAGAAAATGTCAAAATCAAATATGCATAGCAAAAAATATAATTAACTTCGACTTTGATAGTACCCAGATTATGCAGTTACCTTATGTTAAATGCTACTGTAAGTATTTATAACACCTGCAGTTTACATAAAGGTTATCTCCCTTACAAATTATTTAAAATAGCACTATATCTTTATAACTCAAAACTACCGGAGTTATCAAAATAATATATTTCATAATTAATTGTAATCAAGTAATTATTTGAGTCATAATTCTAAGTATAGAACTCTTTTTAAAGGAGGTAAATGTCACAGCTAATTGGACATATATCTTTAAATCATTCACCCCTGAAATTTTAAAATGCACTATTCCATCCTTTGAATTGGAAGAGTTCAAATGTGTCTTCAGGGTTGAATGAGTTAAGAAAATCACTATATTGATATACTAAATTACAGCTGTGGACCTGTGTAAGCTTTGGGGTACGTGTTCTCAGAGCTGTAAACTCGACCCTAACAATCCAACGACAAACTGTTCCTGTGATGACGGCTACACCATGTGGACTGACAATGTCTCACACCGCCCCACATGTCATGCTGAAGGTAAGTCATCTCTGTTTGTCTCTGTCCCACATGTCATGCTGTAGGTAAGTCATCTCTGTTTGTCTCGTGAAGGGAAGGCCAGTGACCTGTGGGTTCCTCTCGAGGTAAGTCATCTCTGTTTGTCTCGTGAAGGGAAGGCCAGTGACCTGTGGGTTCCTCTCGAGGTAAGTCATCTCTGTTTGTCTCGTGAAGGGAAGGCCAG